AATTATCTCCTGGACTTTATTTAAAAAGTTCACCTCCGTTCGTCCTGTCGGAGTCTGATGAATTTCATTCACTTGTGAAACGAAATTAATTTTTGGGGTCTACTAAATTCTCACGTTGTCTAATACAGTGTTGTCTCGAGGACTCTGCCCCAATTTACCTTCCCTGTCACGTGCCTCTGCCAAGGAAAATGAACTCACTTTTGTAGTGAACCGCACAACCAGGAACTGGAAGGGGAAATGGAAATGGAAAATGGGGGCTGGCCGGAATGAATTCGCATTTAACTTTGTCTAATCCTCGTTAGCATTAATTTAGCCAGTCCAGGCATGCTGGAAGCGGGCCGAAGGAAGGATTTCGTTTTCGACAAAACACAAAGGGCCCAGGACGATATTTGTATATGGGGCTTGCATATGCATGAGCCAGATTCGCATTACTATGGGCTATTGTTAGCCGCTTTCGTTGTTATTATTGTTGTGCGCCTTGGCAGGTGTGCGGTGTCCTTTGCGTGAGAGCGTGTGTGTTTGGGATGCGTGTGGGTGTAAAGTTATTAAAACCATTTAAAATGTTTGCTTTGGTCTCGGGATCCAAATCCCTATTTTCCCCCATTGATATCCTACGTGCAGTCATGTGTGCGGGTGTATAATTTGCATAACTACATGTTCGTCGAATCCCGATCCACATCCTGGCATTGTGCCTGGGACATGAATAGGTGTTCAACCTATTCCCAGCACCCCAGCAACCCATCGATAGTCCCGGTAAATACATACAAAATAACAAAACCGTTGCAAATTAGTCCACAATGGCAGGTGTAAGCCGGCAGGAGTCAATTCACCGAGTTTGTATTGTTATCGAGGTCCTCGAGCTTATTAGAATCGGATAATCGTTTCGATGTCAGGACCAGCTGACTCAGCGCTTGTGTCCTGTGACCTTTATTTAAAGACCTCTGTTGTCGTGGTGATAAGCCAGCAGGCTTACAAATTGTTGTATTAGTTACAAATGTCGTTGTGGATTTAGGTTTGTATTGTCCTGTAATATTAATTATCATTTAATTGAAATTAAACTTTGGAAATATCACTCATACGACATGTTGTCTGACAGGATACCTTCGCTTCAAATAGATCCCCATCGGCATCCAGTAAACTGCAGTTTATGCCACTCCCCCGGAGGGTTGCCAAGGTAAAGGTGAACGTAAAGTTCTGTGTTTATGGCATGCGAGGGGGTTGAGTATGTCCTTTTAGGGTGACGTAAAATAATGGTTTTATTTTTAATACCACATGCAGCGAGGCTCTCCTTCCCCGGCCAGGACAGGACAGGGCAGAGACAATGTTGGCTGAAATGTTCAGGGAAAACGTGTCGGTGACCATGGTTGAATGGAAACCACTGCCGGTGGCTACTTGCAACCTGTTGCCGGGTCACGCCAGGATTCGGGTCAGAGTCAAAAGCAGGTGCACAGTTGGTGGCTTTTCTGGCAGGCAGGAATGGTAGTTGTTCAAAGAAGAGGAATGAATTCAGATTCAGTTTTTTTTGTTCTCTGGCTCTCTGGACAATAACCCAGCCCACTGCCGGATATGAAGAATTGGTTTTGTGGTCTTCCAGTCAAATGCACTTCCAAATGGCTGGCCAAAATGTTATTTGTTGTTTCTCGTAGCCCCACAAGGTAGAATGGAAATTCATTAATACCCTTCGCTGGGCCAACAAAACTAATTTCGTTCGGCATCAAATTCGAATGCCTTTCTTGTGGCTTTTGTGGTCCCTTTTTGTCGATTGCCTTTTTCCGGATATACTCTCTAAACGTGTCCCAACTTTGGATCCACCTTGTGTATTTATTCTACACTCTGCTGGAAAATGTCTTGTTTTCACTGCATAAAAAGCACATTCGTAATTTGTGTTGGGGTCTGTTTTTGGTCCGCAGATTTCTGGTCGCCTGCATGTTTCATTCCCACCGACTCTCGCGGGCGAAATATACTTGCATAATTTATGCGAAATCAGCGACGTGGCTGAAACAACAAGCCACAATCCTGCGAGGCGAGAGGCGGGAGGACCACATCTGCAAGGACAGAGGAGCGAGCACTTTATTTACCAGTCGGTGGCACGTAAAATGCTTTATCCCCGATTCATTGTCACCGAAAAGATGCTTTATCGCTGCCAGACTACAAATTCCGGTGCTGCTAAAAATATTAACGCTTGAATCTCATACCTGTCTATTTTCAGGAATCTAAGAGTGGGAGAAGTGAGTGGGGTTGGGTGGAAAATAAAAGGTGAGGCGATAAAGTGGAAAAAAAGGTGAAAATGTAATTTTCCTAAAACCATATGATATATTACTTAAGGATATTACTTTCCTAGATTGCCATAAATGTGATTAGATTGCCTTTTAAGCTTTTAAATTAAAAGTCTTGAACTTTTTTTTGAGTGTATTGAAGCAGTAGGTATCATGGAAATACCTGACAGAGCTGGTTCCAAGCTGACTACCATATTACTGTCCCAAATTTATCTTCTGGGCAGGAGGAAAACTTTGTCTTTAGTCATTCAATCCAGCCAGGATACGCGGAGGATGCTTCTTTTTCTTACGGGGGATTATGGATAATCACCTTGGCGAGGAGATGACGAGGATGAAGGCGAATAGCAAGAACAAGAGACGGAAGAGCACTCTAAGGACAAAAAAACAAGAAGAATACGCATTTGTTTTTATCACACTTTTTACTTTGTGTGTATGTGTGTGCTTTTCATTCAGTGTTTTTTGTTATCCCCTCCAGCCCTGCACTCCCCTCGCCATTCAATGTTTATTTTTGCATAATTTTCTAAGCGTCGTGCCTCAGTTTTAGGACATTTTCATTTACCGTCTGGCACTGCCGTGCAAATTTGTTTACCTTCGTGCGTGCGCAAGTTTTTCCGGATTATGCAAAAGTTGAATTTTTCATTGCATACGCTTAGGCGTTGCGTGTCAATGGCAAAAAGACAACAGTAAGAAGGACACCAGGACACCAGGACACTGGGCGGAAAATTCAATGAGACCCACAACAGAATCAGAGGCCTAGCGTTTATATTAAATTGTATTATTTTCTTTACCGAAGATGCCGTGCAGGAGGTGGAGTCTCATTTTCTTGTGCCTGCCCACGGGTCGTCCAAGATGTTTACTTTACTGTATTTTCTGAAAACTTGCCGCCGGCTATGCCTTTGCTTTTTGTAGTTATTGTTGTGGTTGTATCTCGGCCGGTTTCTTGTCAGCGTGCCAGGCAAATGAGTTTACGAGCGTAGAGCATCAAAAACAGAAAAAAACACCAGCAAGCAAGTAGGACCAGGAAGGGGAAAAAATCGGGAAACGAAAGGAAAACTAACTTTCTGCACATCTTACTTAGTTACAGGCCGTCCTTGTTTTCTTTCCCCAGCTACCTCTTGTTCAACCCTCTTCTGGCACTGCTGTGTTTAGCTGTCTCCTCCCCCCCACTTTTAGGAATCTTGAAAAGGATACTCTACACAGGGCCATAGAAACTCCAAACGGAAACTTTTATAACTCAAACTGCCCCAATTTAAATTTTTGAATAAGTTGAAAAAAAAGGAACCAGTTCGGGGGGTAAAAGCTTTTACTGAATTGAATTTTGTAGTGTTTATAACTTCTCTCATAAATTTACAGTCCAGACTAAATTCTGAATTGCCTGCTTAATACAATTTCGGAGAGTCAAGGATGTAAACTTTTAAATTAGGAAGTTAGTGTAGTTTCCGATTCGGTTCTCACAAGTATCCTTGCTGGTCCTATCATTAATGTGTTCGTGTTCGCTGGCTGGGCTTGTGAAAGCAAATTTCAAACATAATGAGGGTCAAACAATATTTGTGATTTGGTTTTTTTTTCTGGTTGTTTTGGAGGAAAACAAGACGGGCTTTTGTTCGCCCTGTTACCATTGTTTTTTCTGCATTTTTTTTGGCCACGAAATAATATTACGAGTTTTGTGTACAGGGCTTACACGTTTAACCTTTTCGGAGTCAGAGGGTGTTCTTTTAATATTCTTGTCAGATACGACGGTGTTTTCATTTTTATTTGCCGCTTTATTTGTCTAAACATGTAATTGAAGATTCTGAAAAAGTGGTTACTTTTTAATGCATGATTTGAATTAGTTTTAATTGGCTTCTTTGGCGTGTTATAGATTAAATAATTGGTGGTTTCTGGTTGTACTTAGCTAAAATCGAATCTTTCATTTTTATCTTTCATAAAACTAATATTTTACAAGAATATTTATTTTAATGCGAAATTTAACTCTTAGGGATATTAAATAATTTAAAAAAGCCGCGCACTTTTCTATATTATATCGATAGCATCCATATATTACCGTCACCGAAACAAAGGCGCCCTCTTTACCGGAACATATTTGTTATATTACCGAAACAAAGGCGCCCTCTGTTGTTGGGAATAGAAGGGCTGCCTTTCCGTTACAGAGAGTTGAATTTCTTTAACGGAAATTTAAAATAAAACTACTATAAATTAATGGAATGAAGAAAAAAATGAATTAAGATTTAAAAATAAGATAAGATTTAAAAATTTTAATATTATTTTATATTAAAAATAAAAAAAAACTCTCTCAAAACCTAAATTGTTTCAAATAAATGAATATTTAATAGTTCCCGGTAATTTTTCTCTGGCAGGACCTCTCCCTTTCTCTCTCAACCACCACCACTAACGACAGGAGCAGAAGGAGCAGCGGCATTCGGGCAGCTTTCAACCCCCGATAAGGGGCGTATGGCCACGTGCTCCTGGAGCTTTTGGCCTCCTTTCACGGGCGGCAATCAATGAAAGTGAAGCTTTGCCCAAATTAAACCCGCTCGCACTGCCAGCCCGAAAAATTTCCATGCACTCCCAACGGCGGCGCGAGTGTCCTGCGTCAGTGCCTTTCGGTTGTGGTTGTAGTGGTTGGATGGCATGGACGGTGGAGATGGTGGTGGTAGTGCGATGGCGTAGCGAAACCCACCACTTTGAAAGCTTCGAGCGGCGCCAAACGATTCGCATTTAAGATTCAGATTCAGTTTACAACGGAAAGCACAAATCAACGGTCGTGAAAATCGAGCAAAGCTCCGTGCGAAAATCGCAGAAATTCGTCGAACGAAATTGATTTCAGACGTGTGTTGGTGCATTTCGCTGAACGTATTACCAGTATTAAATTAAATAAAATCACAAAGCATTCGCAAGTTCCTCAATACCAGAAGGATATTCCTTGAAATAAGATAAACGCGCGTGTGTCTACGATTTTGAGAGTGTGTGTGTGAAAAATCCGCCCTTAACAGCAGCCAGGAATTCCGAATCCCGAAGCTAAGCCAAGTCAAACTTTGGTACGGAACCAACAGCCAACAGCCAGGCGAAAACTTTTCGCTTGACGTGTCCTGCCCACTCACACACACGCACACAGCTACACAAAGGACATCCACTTCCTCTCTTATCCCGACTCTCTCTCTCTCTCTTGATGTATCTTTTCTTTCTTATATGCCGAGTGATGTTAGGTTGGGAGGGGATACACGTGGAATTCCGCCTCCAAAATAAAAAAAAAAATAAAACCGCACACAGTTCTATGCAAATTTTAATTGTTTCGTGCCCTCGTAGCACCACCTTAAATATGCATTTTTGTGCATTCTATTCAAAAGAGCAACAAAATGCGAAAAATCCATCAGTCGCCAAATCGCGAACTTCGCACGTTGACATTACGGATTGGGAAGGTGTGGTGGTGTATGAGGGAAAAACATGGGAAAACCAAAATCAAATCAGATGTTTGGCAATCGTCCACCCATCAGATGATTAATCACTTGACGGAGCAGACACTGTAAACAATACTTTTTAATTGCCTTTTTTACCCAAAAACAAAGTTTCTACATTCGTGGGAACTGGACCAGACCCTGAGATCCTGTGGCATGGTTCAAGTTGCATTGGGGCTGGCAATGGCATTGGCTGTGGGGGATGTTTTTCTTTTATTTTGTTCTTTTTTGTGGCCAGAAGAAAGCTCCACCCTCTGACCATTTACCAGCCCTAGTCCTCAACAGGCCCAAAGTTGATGCTGTGCCAAAAAACACAGAAAAGCACAAGAAATTGAACTTTGGCTTGTCTGATTGCATTTTCCTGTCCTTACCCCCCTCTCTCTTTCTAGAGTGAGAGCGAAAGTTTGTATATATATATCGTTGGGGACTATATAGTCCTATATAAGGCACTGGTTTTTTGGCAGACGAGTGCACATGTCCTCAGGGGTTTCAGATAAAAAATTAATGCTGTCTTTTGGGTAGGAAATGAATAATTCTTGAAATATTGATTGTTTTGCAGAAGTAGACTTGAGGAATATTTAAAAAGAATACAATGGTTTTCTTTTTATAAAAGTTATAGCCGAGTAGTCTTAATAGTTTTGCCACATATGATGCGATACGCTCGTCAAAATTCCCATAAAATGTCACATTACTTCCGTGTATGACCACGACAGTCCATCAATTATATGGCTACTTACTCGGGGCTCTACTGAACGAAAATGTGCAAAAGCATTAGCTTGCAATTCCCTAACCCAGGCCGAGCTTCAATATCTATTAATGTCGTTTGGAAATTTTCCATCAGCTCCGACCGACATCAGCTGCGTTTATTTACATAATATTATTGTAAAAACAAACCTTCCTGCCACCAAGGTTAGGAATGCGTAAACAACGCTGGGCTTACCAAAAATAAACTTTTGAGGAGCGAGTCCATTTGTCAGCTAAAGTGCTTGCAAACATGCTGATCTTAACAATCGATTTCCAGGAAAACCCTCCCAGAACACACCCCACCCCACCAAGGCTATCCCACACACGGCATCAAGGTCATGCGGAAACGGAAGTGGAAGAAGCACAAGTTCAGATTTTCGACTTGGCGCCAAACCTGGCCGAAAAGCAATTACTCAGGACCTTCAAAATTTTAGCCCAATTTATGCGCAGTTTTGGCCCATTTTGGCTGGGTGCACTAGCGAGTGGATTCCAAAAATAGAAACATATATGCCATTATTAGTTGGTATTTGAAAACTTTGAAGAGCGAAATGAGCAAAGTGCGATTCGCACTGAATTCCGCGTTTGCGGATCGTAAACAAAAGCCAATAAAATGTGCAAAATCGATTGCATAAACAGAGCGTATTTCATTGGCAATCAAATTGCATGATTTATGCAGAATAGAAAACGCCAGCTGGACTACATGGTACACCCCCGTTTGCACCTTTACCATTTATAAAGCGATTCTTATCGATTCTTCAGCCTGCAACACGCCATGTCATCGAATTCACCGTCTTCTTCCCTCTCTATCGCTGTTTATATCCCTTTCTTTATCTCTCGTTTTGGTCTATTTCTAGGGCACTTTAACTGAAAATAGTAGAAGCTTTAAATTCCATTCCCTTAACCTTTTAGCTGAAAGGGATGAACTTGTTTTTTTGCTTCCTCAAATATCATTTTAGCTACGACGCAAAAAGGCTTTGTCCTTTTTTTTGGCGATAGATGTGAGTGTGTGTGTGCCAGGACATCAAGCTTTTGTACCTGAATAAGTCACTGTGTGTGTGGGGCTTTGTTTTTTTTTTGACGATAGAATGGTAGCCTGGTATATTTCCATTCATTTAAATTCAAACCGGAAATTTTTTGCAGCTCCCATGCTGCGGTATTATATAATGCCAGGGCGGGATCTTTAAAGATTACATCCTGACAGAATGTCAGGGGCAATCAGTGGCCATCAATCTTGACCGCGTGCACCCATCATTGAGTAATTTCCTACGGCAATGATTTAAGCCTTGTGTTTAAGTCCACTTTGTATGGTCTAAGTGGGCTAAACCGTTCCAATGACAGGGCCACGGTCGTGTCCTGGCCCCCGAAGCTTTATTTAGAAACGCCGGTTGGCTGCCTCCTCCTCCACCAGGCAGGGTCGTGGCAGGCAGGGATGAACTGCGACGCAGAAAGCAACAGCACTGGCAGAGAAAGCCAAGCAAAAGCAACAATACGAGTGTGGCAATCACAGGACTTTAATATTTTCACACACAGCTTTACGTAACAGCGAATGGATTGTGCAATCAGGCCAGGCCAGGCCAGGCCAGGCCATCCTCCACGTTGGCTTGCAAAAGTCTAGGATGAAGTCACAATTGTGTGATTATTTGCCTCTAGGGAACTAGTGACAAACTAGTATCTGTATTATTGCAGCTGTGGGCTATAATTTTCGATCTCTAAATGGATAAATATTTACAATCTGGCAGGGAGGGAGGTTGCTTCGATTCCACGCCACCAGAAGCGCTCTTGGAAGTACAAGGCAGCCATCAAAAGACGTCATAGCGCATTACGTATACGCAAAATCAAGAAGTATAGACCAAGACTATATATATATATATCTGGCATTAGTGGGTAGTACCCCCCTTGGGCCCCCTCACCCTGAGGTGCATCAATGAAGCGGCAGGACGCCAAAAGCTGTTCTAAGCTTTTCAGGAGAGAGCTGGCCTCTCTTTTTGTGGTGAATTGCTGCTTCTTGCCGCACAGCTGCTGCCCCAAACAACACACCCACGCTAAGGCCATCTCTCTCTATCGGCCTATCACTCTCTCTTTCGCGCCACATCCTCTGGCTTTAATTTACGACGTCAGCAACAGAGGCCGAGACGAGCCTCCAAGTAAATAGGCGACCAACCCTACCACTCTACCGCCCACCACCGCCCACAGAACCTCTATTTCCTACTCTCTACACTTTTTTTTGGTTGCTCTTTCAATTTGCAACGACCTTCTGGGGCCAGTCAACAGAAATGTGAAATTTTGGGTGTCCCCTACACCCAGCAACAAGGTTCAGGAAGTCACGTACCAGAGACCAGAGTGGGTGGTTGGTTCAGTGACTCGTAAACAGTCCATAGAGGTTTTAGTTTCTAATTAACCTCTGACCCTCATCCCCCAGGGGTCTAGGGGTACGTGCGTATTTGTTCACAAGCTGGCTTTTTCTGCCAAATTCCTAATGAATTATGCAGCAAAAGAACAGCAAATACATGCATGATACACGAATTCCCTCATCGGCATATGAAAAATTTGCATAGCAATCGAATTACGGAGAGAACTACGGTGCGTGGGTGCTCCACGGAAAAGTTTCCATTAGGCTGGCAAAGAGGATCCGCCTAATGGCAAACAATTAGGGACAAAATTGAGTTACCAGCCACTACATGGCGGCTCAAGGACGTCCCCACCACAAGACAACGTTCTACACAAATGGGCAAACACACACAGACGACTGACTGACACTCACGAACATTTTCAAAGGATACTCTCGAGGAGGAGTATCGATCAAACGATGGCGGGCCTAATCGACTGCTCCACTTTTTTCAGAAAGGAAAGCAGGGACACTCCGACGGGGCATTCCGCACGTTGATGGCTGCCACGAAAATCATCGATGCACCGCGCAACGGCCACGAGATGGCCCCACTGAACACACGGGCCCGGGGCGATGGCACCCACGGAGTGACCATAGTCCTAACCGCCCCGCAGCGCAACTCCGTCCAGTCGGTGGACATACCGGGCGGTGAGCCGGAACGGGCCGCCTGGAGCGGCAAGATGCAGTTCTTCCTCAGCATTATCGGCTATTCGGTGGGCCTGGGAAATATCTGGCGTTTTCCCTACCTGTGCCAACAGAATGGGGGTGGTGAGTATTCTAGGGACTATATTAACTATATTTATGATATAAAATATTATCATCCAACTATTATGTTTCTTTTGGGCTTCAAATATCATGAGACTTTTCATGGCAATTTTCCAAAGAATAGAAGCTCATTACAAATGTCAGAGCTTGTCAAGTCATTCCACATAACATCGAATTAATAACCAATTACCTCCAACTCTTGGCCACTGGAATTTTACGCTAATTCTCGGATTACCCCGAAAACGCCAACTGTTGCAGAATTTTTCAATCAATGTCTGGCGGCAGTGGCAGTGCCATTCCACGCGTCACCTGAGCGATAACGCCTAATTGGGTGGAGGGTGTGCCCCCACCCCCCATATAGCCAGCCCCCCGGGTGCTACCACTTGTGTCATATCCAATATCAGTAGTTGGCCAACGAACTGCAGCTAATCAAGTGCACAAGCCACCGACAATAACATTATGAGATTTAATGTGAACTAATTGCACGGCTTTCGACAGCGGAAGGGCTCAATTGGTGGCCTTGGGAAGGGGCGTGGGTGGTACGGGGGGTGGTGGTAACACACCTCGTGGCAGGCACGCACATTTCTAATGACAATGCAGCCCCACCCTGGTTTTAATTCAATTACAATTACAATTGTCGGAATGAGCAAACATCTAAGCCCCAAATACACTGGAAATATCAAACCAGTTACTAAAGCGGATATTTCCTGACTAGGCCAGAAATGCAAATTATTGTTAGCCAGTTGGACATTGATTTTGTGTCATGTCTTCTCAATCACAATGGATTTTAAACAGAGAGAGAAGAGGTTAGAGGTTGAAGGGTTACATATATTTGACAAGAGGCTCTATTGTTTTCCTTCTATAAAAGGATGTAGTTTCTATAGCTTCTAAAGAACCTTAATAACCTTCAGAATTAATCATTTAAAGTAATAATTTTTTAAATATTTTCTTCAAGTGTTAAATGTTACTTAATGGTATTCCCCCTTTCAGGTGCGTTTCTGATACCCTTCATGATTATGCTGATACTGGAGGGCATACCCCTCTTCCTCATCGAGCTGGGCATCGGCCAGAGAATGCGACTGGGCGCCCTGGGGGTGTGGAACACCATCCACCCCTGGCTGGGCGGCATTGGTATCTCCTCCTGCATTGTGACGCTGTTTGTGGCACTCTACTACAACGTCATCATCACGTGGGTGTTCTTCTACCTCTTCAATAGTTTTCGGGTGAGTTGGTCCGCAAAATTTCCATCCAAATATAGCTTATAATTATTATCCTTTTAGTATCCTTTGCCTTGGTCTTCTTGCCCGACGAATGGTACAGGATTCGAGCTGGAGGAGTGCGCCAAGTCCTCGGAGACAACGTACTTCTGGTATCGAACCACCTTGGATGCGGCCCCCTCGATGGACGAACCCGGCGGCCTGAAGTGGTGGATTGTCCTCTGCCTGTTGCTCTCCTGGACCATTGTCTTCTTCATCGTGATGAAGGGCATCCAGAGCTCAGGCAAGGTGGTCTACTTCACCTCCCTGTTCCCCTACATCGTGCTGACCATCTTCTTCATACGGGGCATAACCCTGAGGGGAGCGGGAGCCGGGCTGATGCACATGTACACGCCGAAGGTGGAGAAGCTACTGGAGCCCACCGTCTGGCTGGATGCAGCCACCCAGGTGTTCTACTCCTTCGGCCTGGCCTTTGGCTCCCTGATTGCCTTCGGCAGCTACAACACCCCCAAGAACAACTGTGTGCGGGACGTGCTCCTGGTGTCCGTCTGCAATGCCGTCACCGCCATCTACGCCAGTGTGGTCATCTTTGCCATTCTCGGCTTCAAGGCCACCGTCAATGTGGATCGCTGTGTGGACAGGTGAGTGGGCTGGTGGTGTATCTATGGGGATGCGTAGTACGCTTCAATGGCTGCTGACCAGTTGTAACCGGCCCGTGCCAATGTATTATATAATCAATGGGCACTGACATTCATCAATAATGTAGCGGATGGGCCTGTGGGTGTATGTTGCGCGAGTCCATTGATATTAGAATCGATATGGAATCGCGGTCGTGTCTGTCAATTTGCATCAATTAACGGGGCACAATTGCTCTTGAACTGTCGGGTTTGAACCGATTTGAGTCAGTCTGGATTGATTGTTGACCCGTTCTCTTGCCCCCATTCCCCTCCAGCAACACGGAGATCCTGGTGAAGCACAACCTGCTGGATGTAAATGCCACCCGCTTGGTTTACGATCAGACCATTGCCAAGTACAACACCACGGAAATGGCCAAGTTTCACCTGAGCGAGTGCAGTTTAAGCCATGAATTGGACAATGTGAGTACAGCTATGGGCTTGGAGGATGTAATCCTAATCGTATTTCTCTTAAGGCTGCTGAGGGCACTGGCCTGGCCTTTATCGTGTTCACCCAAGCCATTGTGGAGCTGCCAGGAGCTCCCTTCTGGGCCGTCCTCTTCTTCACCATGCTGCTGTCGCTGGGACTGGGATCACAGATCGGCATCCTGGAGGGCATGCTCTGCACCCTCTTCGACATAGACATTATCAAGCGGGTTAAGAAACAGCATGTCACTGGCGTGGTGTGTCTCTTCTGCTTCATTGTCGGTTTCATCTTCTGCACAGGTGCCGGGGAGTACTGGCTCAAGATGTTCGACTCGTTTGCCGGCACCATTGGCCTGGTGGTGGTGGCACTCATGGAGATGATAGCCGTCATCTTTATTTATGGACATGAGCGGTAAGTTAAGGTCTGGTTTAATAGTTTCTTAAGTAAAGCTACAAAATCTTGCTCTTTAGCTTCACTGAGGACATCTACCAGATGACTGGCTATAGACCAGGTCTATACTGGCAGCTTACTTGGCGTTACATTGGCCCTGTGATCATGGTCTGCATTCTGGCCTCTTCCGTGATCTTTATGGTCATTAGGAACCCTACTTACGGAGCTTGGAATGCTGATTTGGTAAGATGGCCCTTGACTCTCTAACTCCTTCAATTCTTACCAATTCCCTTTCCTTCCAGGGTATGATCGAGCAAAAGGACTATCCCAACTGGGTCATGATCATTGCCATCTCCATGATCCTGGCCGGGGTCCTGCCCATGCCCATTGTGTTCCTCATGCGAAGCTTCCAGTGCCTCAAGGTGGACCTGGACATACACCAGGGCTCGATTCGCCGCAACGAGACAACCGCCTCCACCAAGGAGATGATCGACAATGACGATGATGTAAGTGATGGACTCTATAGAGTCCTAGAATACTCGATTCAGACTCGATTTGAGCTTTCTTTGTCTCATTCGTTGTGTTGTTAGACTAAGATTATTGCCAAGCTCTCTATCTATTTGGTCTATTCGTGTGACTAATTGTGTCTCTCTCTCACCTAACGATACATTCCTCACTCTTGCGCTTGTTTTTTCCTATCTGACAATGCTTACATCCAATTACTGACTACATAATACTCTAATAATACTACAAATCACGCCCATTGTCGTTCAGAACATGAGTCCGGATATGCCACCGCAGAACTCACTCGCGGCGACACGCTTCACAATTGGAGACTTTGAAGTAAGTTGTGCCTCGTCCTCGTCCTTACAAAAAACCAAACCGAAAGGGATCTCCCCCCATCACCTGCACCACTTCTAAGAACATTATCGAAGCTAATCCACACAATTCTCTGCTCTTCTTTCCTCTGCTACCCCGTGTCCACTATCATTGGTCAATGTTTAGAATTAGAACTAACCGATACCGATACCGAAACCGAATCGAGACCCTGGATACGTACTAACCAGTACAGCGCCATGTTTCAACAGCCATCAATCAGATAAAGTCTAGGATAACATCAAAAAGTAGAACACACACACTCCAGAACACGCCTAAATACCACCACCTCTAAACACCAGATTATAATACCCAAGATACACCTCAGAATCGGACTAAGGACTGTGCTAAGTTGCACGCCACATCTCAAGTAGAAACCAAGTGCTCATGCCGCAGATACCAAGCAATACCAACTACTCAATACCACTAAGAACTAATCAACGCACAGCAATTACTCGTAGTTAGCATCCAAAAACTAAGTGCTATTTTAACCAAAAACTGAAACTGACACCAGGAATACTTACGGCCATAACAATTATTTACAAAGGTTAAGTTTTAGGGTCAAAAGACTAGCAAGTAACGCTTGGTTGGTAGGGCGAGATATTTGTCAGCAAGAAGAGTTAGGGGCGTCGAATTGGCTGCTGGGCGTGGCTCTAATTGCAGGTAAAGTAACACTCCAAAAGCCAAAACAAAGTCCTAAACATTTCGTTACATTTCGTTTGTTGGTTACCTTTTTATTGTTCATTGTTTTGATGTTTTTTCTGTAAGTTCTTTTTCAAATCCTTTCTATCTAACGGGCCGACCCTGTAATGTATAGATACATATGTATATGTATCTGCTAGATTTTAAGTTACTTCCCTCCGTAGAGTACATTGTATGTCTACAGTTCAGTTTTACACTAGATTTCTTTCAGTGCTGCTTTGCGCGCCAGAGCGCCATCTGCTGGCCACGTTTTACAGCTAGAGCTAGAGCTTTCGCTTGTGTAGAATATCAAGTATACGCAACGTGGTGTCAGCTCATTTGATTTATGTATCATAATTTTTTGTACACGGCTCTTGATTTCCTAGAGGACCTTGCTGGTCCCCCAAATTGTTTGTTTTGCTGCCCCAACCGTTTATAACCGTCACTGTTTTTGTATCCCTTTCCGCCATCGCCATCGCAATCAGGACGACGAGGACGATGAGAACGACTTCAGCGGCCCCGCGCTGGGCGGACATGTTAAGACCCAGAGCGACTTCTCCGACGACGAGGAGGAGGACAAGCCGATGACCATGCGGATGATGATGATGCGTCCGACGACCACCACCAAGACATCGAACGTGTTAAATGTGCCAACAAGCAGAAAGCCGAACTTTAAGAAGGACGCGTACGATGTGTAGACAAGCCACAAAGCCCACTCCAATAGATACAGATACAGATACAGCTAAAACAGAAGACACAGATACAGATACAAGATACAGGTAAAGGTCCAGGTGCGAGACGAAACGAAAAATGGCAAGTAAAATATTAACTCAACCGAATTGTGAAGAGACGAGATGGATGGCAGGAGGAGAATGTATGCCGAGCTGAGCGCAAACATTTATAAATATTTACGATAAGTATTTTAAAATAATTTAAAGCTAAGTCTAAGAAAACTACCAGAATAAAACCCAAGGAGCTAATTGAATTCAAGTTCGAGTAACTAAAAATTGTTAAATCATATTTTTAACACAAAAAACTGAACTTAAACCCAATCTTAATGCAAAACTAAACAAAATTTAAGACAAAAACTATGTACGAGTACAATGGAAAGGATAACGAAATATGTGGAAAAATATGAACTAAACACGGGTTGCTAAATTTTAAATTCGATTATGTAGCATTTAGTTGAAATGCTTTAAGCTTTACAATTAGAAACTCGAGCACACAAAGTCCAAGTATTTCCGAGTCCCAAGCGCTCCTTAAGTCCCCATCTCAGACCCACCCACATTCCTATCCCATTCCAGTCCCCTATCCATCCCACCCCGCCCACCAAACAAAATACTTGAATGGCAAAAACGCTTCTTAGTCGACTTTTAGCCAGCGCATTTCCAAGGAGTTAAACTCAACATTTAGTTTTAGTAGAGACCTGCCGTTATTATTTTTATTTGAATTCTGTTTTCGACTTCAAGTGCTTGCCCAACCTATAAATACTTATGTAGAAACAGAGTTACACACTTTACTATTAATTCAGACAGGTTAAGAGCGTTGAGACACAATATATATTGTATTAACACTTCGAGTTCTAGTTGAGTTGAACAAAGAATACCTATACTTACTATACTGATTACTGATTACTGATTAGAAAATGAGATACATGGAATGTGTGATATTCTAAATAATATCCTCAAATTCTAGGCTTTAAGGCACTCATCCATCCCTTCAAACTCCAAGGTCCCACCTCCACCCGACTCTAAAATCGAAAATTAAAAATCTAAAATCAGGCACTCTATTTTCTATTTCCCCCGAAACACTCAAGAGTATTTTCCTAAACTGACAGAACTAAGCAAATGAAAACAAAAACCAAGAAAAAGTAAAAGAAAAATAAACTGCTGTGAATAGTGTTAGTGGTTGTAAAGTTCTATCGAAGAGGAGAAAACCATAAAAACCATAAAGTCTAATATTTAACTAGTTCTTAAGCAGCACTCCATCGTTAAGTTGAATTTGATCCGTCACTGAAAACACTACTAAATCATATTTCCAATTCGGTTTCTTCAAAAAAGGTTTTCTAATTTTTCAAAATGATAAAAACAGAATAAGGCAAAAGGAAAAGGTACATATATACAGCTTAATCAAAACACATGGAATTTCAAAGTACTCAAAGTCAATGCAATGGATGGACGATGAACGGCATAACGTTGAAGACAATAAGACAATTATAGAAATATACTTATGACATGGCCCGTCGAGTTTAGAATGGAATTTGTAGTAGTCACCGACGTGGCAGTTTTCCCCGATAGCCGTACAGGAATTTAAAGGCCATTTTTTATTGGGAGATTTGTATACTTTATTGTCAGGAACATTTACAGAGTATAAGGTCTCCTCCAGTAATCAGTTACACCTCGTACCCCCCCATTTCCATATCCATTTAATAAATCAAATCCTCGCAAATGCAACCAAAAAACCAAAAACCAAAAAACCAAAACCAAATACATAGTACCAAATGCCTAAGTGTATAGTTTACTTGTTTACCGACACTATATATACGAGCATAAACCTATATATATATATGATGAATATATATATATGCAGTACCGTACCTACATATTAATCTATATACCTAGCTCTACTATAACTATTGTACATCAATTATTGTCGTAGTGCTAAAGCCCCCCAAGGACTCGTGTAAATTTGAATGTATTAAAACACTGCAGAGATGAATACTTATATGGAAATTAAATATATCGTACGCAAGAAATTATTACTAATAAAGATATTTCAAGATTAGTGCGTTAAGTTGAAGAAGAGCAAAAAAAAAAAAAGAAAGTGAAAGTGTTTTTATTGGGGAGCCATCACTGTACCGGCTGGCACGTTTATGTATTTGTCTCGGGCAGATGGAACCATCTGTATTTATTGGATTTTGATAGACCTCTGGCTTTAGAAGCACCTTGGACCGGGAGCTAAGAATTCCCGATTACCTTATCGACGAGGGGAAAGTTTCATTTCTATTTCACTTGTTTTCATTGTATTCTTCTTTATTTGTTTTGTTTTGGCAACATTCTCGTTTGATTAGAAATGCCAGGGAGTTCTTCCTGAGCAATTGCACTAAAGGGTGGTGCCTCGAGGGGTGGTGCTTGGCGGTCGACCTTGGATATTGCCAGCAGCTATTTCGGTTTGCCATTTTATTGCAAAGAAGCATCGTAAATGGCATTGGTCTATAAATATGTTAACACAGGTAAACCAATAATTCTCGATTGGTAGCCAGATATTGATATGAGGGGAATGATAAAAAAAATGGCTACACTGAGAGGAACTAGGCACTCCCTATTTTTTCCTGTGTAAGCAAGCAGTGACGTAACTTTGCACAACAGATCGGCATACCTGCCAGACAGGTCTGCACTCCTTTTCGGGGGCGTGTCCCGGGTCTTCTGGTGCTTTCCCAAACGCGACACCACGAATATGCAGTAGGCGGCACGTAGCAAGTGCAGCAGAGTCGGGTGTTATCTTATCAACACGAGAGCCAAACATGTGGCCATATGCTTCAGCCGGGAGAATCGAAACGGATCGGTTCGGAACGGAATGGATCGGTTCAGAGCGACAGACCCAAACAAAAACATGTACAATATGTTACTTGAGCGCAGCAATTGCCGCAGAGTGTCAGTTTGGCTCGATGTGCCAGAGCAGCAACAAGTGCTCCGCTGTATTCCCGTATCTGTATCTCTGTATCTGTATCTCCATCTGCATTTGCAACCGAAAACGAAACCGTAACTCAAGTTGCAACTGAAACCGAGACACATAAGTTAAGCTGAAGCGCAGAAAGTGCACTCTGGAGAGACTTCCAACGCCCTGCGACACTGAAACACTGCAAAAAGTGAATTTCCTTTCGCTAAATAAATTTTAATCAAGTCCGGCAATTTCATCAAATTAACGGCGGACCAAACGAATCGAAACGGGACGCTATAAATTGATTAAGGCGGAGATAAAATTGCATCCGAGCCAAGGGTATTAGCGGGCGAGAGTGAAAGCAGCCGCAAAGTGACAGAATGCTGCTCAAAGGCGCGCAGCTGCTGCGATGCGGGTAAGTCTAATGGCTCTAATGCCGGCCAACACCGAAGCCCCAGAGGAGCCATTGAGTGGGCGGTAAGTCGCCCATGAAGTCGGGGGGGTTGGGTTCCATTTTTTAGATTGCCATTCCAGGCGGTAGGTTGGCCAAAAAGTTGTGTCAATCATCTGCTAATCTCTGTATTAACAAAAATAGTCTTTATACCAAATCTCTTTTCGAAAGCCATCTATCTAATCCCCTTTAGATAAGAGACCCATAAAAATAAAGCGTTTCTATCAAATTGCTATAGTTTAGTACAAGTCTTGAATTGTTTTTAATTGATGTTATTATTATACCTTAATAGAAAATGATAACCCAGTAACATTGTGTGGTTTTCTCGAATTTCAAGCTCAAGGTTGATAAACCCCTTTAGTTTCATTAAACAAACTATTAAATAACCTACCTCAATGTAGGGTTGTAAGTAGTGAATCATGCTTTATTTTACGATGGAAAAATCCACTCCCCTGCTGCTTCATTCATATTATTAATATTATAAACAACACTGATTACACGACATTTTTGAGAGCAAGAGCTACATCAACAAAAAACCACTATCAATGTTAATGTCATCTGTGCCAGAAAGATCATTGCACTTTCGGCTCTCGACGTCAGACGGGGGTTATAAAAAATATATAAATTCTTAATCTTTCAATTGTTTGTTAGTCTTTGCCTCCCAAATTAATAATACATAATTTACACTTTAAGAAAATATATATTTAATAGATTAAATCTAATTCAAAGTATTTCTAGAACCCTCTACCTTTAGGGTTCCTTTATTCATTATTAAACGTTGCCTACTTTGCGGCACCGTTCGTTCACCTTAAGCCATAGAACTACTTTTTTCCGCCCATGCCTAGAGGTATGCAACACTCCTCCTCCAGATACTTTGTTCAATGAAAAGCTTTCGGTTTGGCGCCTTCTCTTTGTTCACTTTTTTTTATCAGCCGCCAGCCCCCACGCTTTTTATTATTTTTGTAGTTTTGTTTTGACTCGATTTCTTTGTACTTTGTGCCAGTGTGTGTGTGTGTATCTGTGTGTGGAGATCGCAGGCAAGTTGTTCGTTTTTGTTTTGTTTTAATACGTATAGAAGCAAAATAAAAACAAAGCGCTGAATGTATGGGTTTTTTGAGGCCGCTTAGCAACAAGCGACTCGAAATCTTTGTCCGCCTGTTGACTGTTTTTGTTTTGGCTTCTGTTTTTATAGCCAAGTCAGCAGAGTGGCGTGTTTTGAAGAATTTTGCTCAAAGGTTCTCATAGATATGGTCCTGCCTGGCAATTGTTGTGATGCATTTTGATTGAGGTATCCGTCAGATACTGACGACTGCAATGACGATTGCGTGGAGTGTCATTGGGGATAACCTTTAGACACTGCGACGGCAATGACAGAGGCAACGACATCGAATCACCAACCGCACCAGTAACAACAAAAATATTATTGTTGACGCGACGAGTCTGAATCTATTTTTCAGGCCGAGCCCCCCTGCGAATGCTAAAAAAAAATACACCAATAATATTCGCCATTTTTTTAACAAGCAATACAAGACAGAAATCAAAACAATTTCTTTAATATTAAAATTTGAAAAAATCACGCGCTTTTCGAAGTGCTTGCATAAAAATACATGGCCCACAGTCATGGCTTACTTCCTATCAGTTAATGGTTTGTTTACCACATATTCCGAGAATTCCCAGAAACTTCTGGCCGCCAGAGATAAGATTCATTTTTCTATATACGATATAATGACGCGTGGTTTCCTATTTTCCCTAGTATCTGAATCATAACCGTCGTCTCATTGATTAAATCAGCAGTATTCAAGCGTCAACAAACTTCAATTACCATAGCACAGCTTTTTTTAGGGCTTATAACAAATAGACTTCAGCCGATGTAATTCATGGAATAAACCAGACCAGACCTCCATTCAAACGAACCATTACCTTATACACAATATTCATTTAAATATAAATACATATGTATGTATGGCGGAACAGTTTAATCTACAAATTCGTATATGTATCTGGAAGCGTGGGCAGTCTAGGATCCGCTTATCAGTCGGTAAACAATATACGAAATTAGTTGGACTTTGATATGCGGTAATGAGCTTTCCTACAACAGCATTCGTAATTTTATTTTATAAACTATACTGCAGGCCCAGACTGGGTCCAATAATTTCCAGTTGCGACCGGGTTTTCTGGTTTCATTTCTGCGCAATTTAATGCCACGAAACAAAGGTGATTTTCTGAAAGAAGGAAACCAGGAAAGGTCCATTAGTCATCCATGAATAATTTCTTTGTTATATTTGGGGTTTTTAAAATAAATTAAAAGTTTTCGAAGAATTTGTTTATGGGATTTCAAGAATCTGTTTTTGCTTAGATGACGTCTCATATAATCTATCTGTGGAAGTGGAAAACTTTATACAGCTAATAAACAGATAATGCAGTTTCCAGTAAATATTATTAAGCATCATGACTACATTGTTAGCTGTCAACAATTAAACTAAAGTATTATTATTTTAAATTGAGTAATATATTATAAATCATTCTTAAACGCAGGCTATATTTCTTGTAACAAGTACCCATTAAATCTTGTGGCCATTAAACCCTTGACTGAGTCCTCCAGTTGATAAGCTCCTCCGTCTGATTGTGGCTGCCCTTCGCCTTCTTTTTTTTGACATTTGATTCTTTCAATAAATCTAAGGCCAAGAAGGGCCAAGGCTAATGAACCCTACAAGTATTTATTTGATGATGGAACCAGTTTCGTTTATTTCATCAGACTGCAAGTACAGTTTTTCGTTTTTTGGGGAAGGAATATGGTATCTTGTGGATCAGCTGACTGCCCCATGACTGTTGCCATGAGTGCTTATGGGGAAAACATTCCGTATTCATACTATTTATAAAAAGATGTGTTCTTTTCCATATAAAAAATAGCACACACATTAAAAGATACACGCGCTCTCTGAAAATTCTACGTATTTTACGCGTCGTTTTTGCAAAAAAAAATACAAGTTGTGAAAGGGAATTATACGAAATTTTAGATACTCTTTAAGGAGGTATAATAGAATTAGAAGTTTATTAAATATTTACCTTAAGATACTTTCATATAAACCTGGAAAACTTCCATTAAAAGAACCCCTTTATAGAGTTTATCATCCTGCAGCCTGAATCCCCTTTGTTAGGGTATATCTTGGCATCCGAGACTGGGGAAACGGTCAGCATCCGTGGCGTCATGTGGACCAAAGTGGATGCTACTGCGGGGAGTACAGTGGTAGTTGCCATTTGAAAAGGCCGGGGGACATTCTGGCACCCATTTCCAACCGAAACCGCCTCGGCGTTATCTCCCGAAATAGAATCAAAATACGCAGCCAGTTCGGTTTCCAATTGAGGCGCGTGGCCCTAATCAAAGACCCCGTCCAAAAAAACTGAAAGCTGGGGCAAATCCACGAGTGCTGTACAAATAATTAGCTGCTGGGGTGTCAACATCACCGATACGAGGGGGCAGTTCAGCTCAGACGAAAGCGGTTTGCATATGTTTACAGTCTCACTCGGTTATCAGTGCAGTAAATAAAGGTTTTAGACTATTTAACTAGCATTCCAATGGGCCAATAACTATCATAAATGAGCAAATAAAGTTCTAATACCCGAAATCCCAGATAAAAGCCAGACGCCCGCCACAAAGACCACAAAAGGCACAAAAGCCGGTTGGATCCAGTTAATATGATTGAATTAAATTTTAATTTTCATTCAATTTGCGGCTTAATTGGCCATCTCATCCACCAAACAGCCTGTGAGTTTTTGGCAAAGCCACAACCAGAGGCATTGAGAGATGTCGCTGGTTTATCATTCACCTCACACGCCCCAAACATGCAGACGGCTTATGTTAATATAAACCAGGCCAGATTACTCCGATATATACATACATATATTATATATATATGTATAGGTATGTTTCTATGAAGAGCGTGTGGCGGTGAAAACTGCGCAGTTCCAAAAATTATAAAATCTACATTAATTTCGGTTCGTCTGGCCCCAGACACTCTAGTGACGTCACAAATGGGGCAACCCTGAAGCGCATGTAAACGATAAGTTATACTATTTAATAGTGGGGTCTGCTCTGGGTCTGGACTTTGGACTGTGTAAGCAGCTGTCTGGCATGTGGCTGTGCGGTGAGTCTCTGACCCAGAGAGATATTACAACCTGAACACTAAAGGGTCTACCGGAAGCGGCGAGTATCTCACAGATACGGATACACTCGCAAGTACCTGCAACTGCTGCTCTTATCTGCAAAATACAAAGACCAAAAAACCAAAACAGAGAGCTCAAAGAGTAACAGCCACTGCAAGATGATGAAAGATTGCATCATAAAACCGCAGACCGGCTTCTAACGAAAGTGACGTGGGTTGGCGGCACAGTATCTCGAAAAAAAAGTATCTCTCAGTAAGCCAAATCCGAAGGTTGGCTTTAGCACTGCCTACCCTGGAAACTGAAGCCCCCCTCCGTCACATCAGCCCCTGTGGCCCCTTCAGATACTTTGCAATTTACGCTGAGCAAGTTTCTCGAGTTTGGAGTAGAGCTCTTTCGAAAAAAGAAATAAAACCAGACCGACCAGACGAACAGCTGATCAGCCAGTTTGGTCTTGTCTATATACAAATATATATCTTTTTTCTGTTTATATTTCTGTATTTTTTTTTATCTGGCCTTTTCCAGCGGAGGTGCGTTCCCCGCGCCTTAGAATTTCAAATTCACGTTACGAGGTCTGCCAAGCGGCAGTACAGTTGTGTTCGAGTTGGCTAGTCAGGTGAACGGTTGGCCAAACCGAACTGAAAAGGTCTTCAGGTAGTCTCTACTATCTGCAGGATACGGCAAACAAACTGAATCCTTTTACCTGGCATTAGATACTGATTGTTAATATATTTAAGAGCTCTGTAGAAATCAGATTTCAATTCTAAATACTTTTTAAAAATGTAAGATACAGAAGTGGTCTTGCGAGTACCAAGTATAGCAGTAGGACTAGTAGTTCTATATATTCAATTATTAAATTTTTTAAAATTCCTCTTTTATTTCAGCTTACTTTCTAGACCCCAGAGCCACAATTTCCGTCTACTATGTCGTTCGCTTTCCGTCCATTACGGCGATACCAAGACCCTTACTCCCGCCGTCAGGAAGTATTTGGAGCAGTGCGTGGATCTCTGCCAGCCGGATAAGATACACATCTGCGATGGCACTGTGGGCGAGAGCAAGATGCTGCAATGCCTCATGCTGAAGCAGGGCACCATTGTGCCCCTGCCCAAGTACCATAACTGCTGGCTGGCGCGCACCAATCCGGCGGATGTGGCCCGTGTCGAGTCGCGGACGTTCATTTGTACGGAACGGAAGGAGCAGGCGATTCCCGTGACGGAGAAGGCCACACCCAGTGCCCTGGGAAACTGGATATCGGAGGGGGACCTGCGAAAGGCCATTGATGAGCGGTTCCCGGGATGCATGAAGGGACGTACCATGTATGTTATTCCATTCAGCATGGGGCCTGTGGGTTCGCCGCTCTCCAAGGTAGGAATCGAGGTCACCGACTCGCCGTATGTGGTGGAGTCCATGAAGGTTATGACCCGGGCGGGTACACAGGTGCTGGATCACCTTCAGACCGGCGACGGGCAGTTTGTCAAGTGCCTGCATTCGGTGGGCACTCCCCAGTCCGGAGTCCACGCCCAACCATCCTGGCCCTGCGATCCCGAAAGGACCATTGTCCTGCACAAGCCCTCCGATAACGAGATTGTGTCCTACGGATCGGGTTACGGGGGCAACTCCCTGCTGGGCAAGAAGTGCTTCGCCCTGAGGATCGGCAGCACCATCGCCAAGCGGGAGGGCTGGCTGGCCGAGCACATGGTCATCCTGGGCATCACCAATCCCAAGGGCAAGAAGATCTATCTGACCGCCGCCTTCCCCTCGGCCTGCGGGAAGACCAACCTGGCCATGATGAAGCCCAGCCTACCCGGCTACAAGGTGGAGTGTGTGGGCGACGACATTGCCTGGATGAAGTTCGACTCGGAGGGAGTCCTTCGGGCCATCAACCCGGAGTTTGGATTCTTCGGAGTGGCACCTGGCACCTCAAAGGCCACCAACCCCGTTGCCATGGACACGATTTTCCGCAACACGATCTTCACCAACGTGGCTTCCACCTCGGATGGGGGCGTGTACTGGGAGGGCATGGGGGAAGCGAATGTGAGGGATGTCACCGTAACAGACTGGCTCGGCAAGCTGTGGTCCAAGGAGTCGGGCCGAAATGCCGCCCATGCCAACTCCAGGTTTTGCACGCCCGCTTCCCAGTGTCCCATAATCGATCCCGCCTGGGAGGATCCGGCCGGAGTGCCCATCTCGGGCATGATTTTCGGAGGACGTCGTCCAGCGGGTGTACCCCTGGTCTTCGAGGCCCGGGACTGGACCCACGGTGTCTTCATCGGCGCCGCCATGAGGAGCGAGGCCACTGCCGCCGCGGAGCACAAGGGCAAGGTCATCATGCACGACCCCTTCGCGATGAGGCCGTTCTTTGGCTACAACTTTGGAGACTACCTGAGCCACTGGCTAAGCATGGAGAAGCGGGGAAAGGTCCCCAAGATCTTCCACGTCAACTGGTTCCGCAAGAGCGCGGATGGCCAGTTCCTGTGGCCCGGCTTTGGTGAGAACTCGCGTGTCCTGGACTGGATCTTCCGGCGGGTGGAGGGCGAGAAATGCTACGAGGAGTCGGCCATAGGACGTCTGCCTTCCAAGGACTCCCTCAATCTGGCGGGTCTCGATGAGAAAATCGATCTCGAGCAGCTGTTCTCGCTGCCTAAGGACTTCTGGAGGCAGGAGGCCGGTGAGATCGAGAAGTACTTCAAGGAGCAGGTGGGCCAGCACCTGCCCCAAGAGGTGGCCGAGCAACTGGAGGTGCTGAAGGCGCGTGTGGCCGACATGTGATCTGTTCCAATGTGTTCCATAGGTTACTCCCTAATCTTAGACCTAATTGCGTAAAATAAACCGAAAACGAATGCGAGATTTTTATAGCTGAACTTGACTTGCTGTTTCTTCTTTTTTGGCATTGGGTTTGGTGTTTGGAACCGAAATGTGGGGCGGGGCTTTGGGGCGTGGCCTGGTGGCAGCTTATCAGTAACCGGAGGCCCGTCCGCAATTGGCGTAAACAAGTGTATAAATCCATAATGCCGTTTAACCTGAGTTATCAGACGATCGGCCGAACGATGAAAAACAAGCAAATAAAATTTTAAAATAAGCCAAGAAACTTTGGTTTCTTTTTTTTGGGGGTTCTGGGAGGTCGGGTTGCCAGGGCCTGATTGCAAAAAATAGAGGCATGTGGTCCGATCTAACCAATGATGGTGTCCAATCTGATTGGTCTTAAAAGAAACAAAGGAACTCCTTCTTGAGAAGAACCCCCTAGAAGAGGTGATGATTTTTCCGACTGGAAAATTTCCTGGATCCGGGTGGGTTCTATTTTTAGCTGGAAGTGCGACTCAGAGGCTCGTCCGTTTGATAACCCAGAATCGAAACCCAAACAGATCACTTATTGATTATGCATATATATTCTCATCTGTTCGATCGAACGTCTATTGACGTAAATCCCGAATAAGCTCAACTCATCGAAATGCGCCCAAACGATGGGCCAGGGAGGTGGGAACAGGTCCCAGCCCCAGTCCGATTCCGAGTCCGAGTCTGGGTTCAGAGCCATTAAGCGCCGATGATGAAGATTATCAGGCCCAACTAGAAAAACAAGTCCATAGTTTATAAATAAACCAACCGAAAAAAACGGGGCGACGCGTGTAGACTTTAATTTGCAATTGGCAACCGGCAGATGGAATTGCTTTGGAGGGGGAGACAGTCCGGGGGAGAGGGACTCTGATGAAGGACTCTGGGATGGCCAAGGACCACAAGTTGGCCAGGTTTCCACAAGGCCACTAGGGTGTCGCTGAGTCCCTCTGGGTCTAGGCTAAGTGAATGGCAAGAAGGTAACTTGATTTTAACGGTTACTGACTGCACTGAGAGAAAGAATGAAGATATATATCTTATCAACTTGATTGAATTCCACAATTTTGATAAAATATAAAAAGGGCTCATTTCTTTATATATTCACTTCACTTTTATATAATTATACCTCGCTTTTATAAATTGTATCTGAAAATCGATAAAGATACAATTGATAGAGATATCATGTCACTTATAAAGATAAATAGATATCGGTCTAGATTTTTATAGAATTTAGATCGAAAACTTTCTTTTGGAAGAAAAGGTCCAAAGTCGCACCACCACAGCACCTTCATTTCTCCTTCCCCAAGAGCAGAGAAGACACATGACAACCATGGGGGTCTATTCTTGGCGACCACCCCCCCCGTTGGCCAAATAAACACATGACTGGCCTCCAAGACCTTGGCCATGGCCAATAAAAAAGAGGCGCCCGAATCTTGATGATACAAATTTTCCGTCATTGATTCTACAAATAAGCGAAAGTTTCTACAATTTGGCCAAAAGCCAGCTAATGAAAGTGAGAGCAGCCATGTGATGTCCTTGGGTCAGTAGGCGTAGGAGGGCTCGTGTCCCCAGAACCCCATCAGAACCACTAGAAACAGTGTCTGCCACCAAAGTGCAGTGTCTGCTGCATACACTGCAGATTCGTCCAGAATGTACTCAGCTGCAAGGCGAAGAAAGCAACTGCTGTTGCTTCAGCTGTCCATGAACCGGTTTCTATTTTGGTCTGCCACGCTCTCCTCCATTAAATCATAAACAAAATAATTAAATTAACAACCGGGAAAAGTGGCAAAAAAACAGAAAATAGAAAAATGCCTGTGTACCAGGGTATCAAAAATAACAACAACCGACAATACCTTATCAGAATGCGATTGAAACGCACTAGAAATCGCTCTCGAAAATAAAAAATCGCTGTTGCCATGGGGGATATATGGGGGCACCGGGAAGCCCCCACCACCCCGAATGTGTACCATGGACTGGGTGAAAAACCAAAACAATCGCCGAGCCTCCGCCGGCAGCCAATCAGCTCGCTCGAGGTCTGACCCTCTCGCTCGCATCTGATACGGCCGGCGATCGTGGGCCAGCCGAGGCGCAGTCCGGACCCGAATCGGTGCCGATCGGCAGACTTGTTCTAGTCATATCGATGCCGCGACAACGGGTATAAAAGACCGCCAGCCGGGGCTGTTGGGCATCAGATACTCCTGGTCAGAGTAAATGGAAAGATCAAGTGAAAAGCCATATTTCAGTGGTCTGAAAATCAAGCTGATATTTGACAAGAAACTCTGGAAGAACATATGAACGTAAAGCAGCCCACTCTGCACTCCACCATCGAATTGTGATAATTAACCATTGTGATAAACGAATTAAGCCAAAAGTGCCAACCACTCTTTCACGAGTCGCGTCTTTCAATTCCAAATAATACAAGTTTCGAGAGAAATCCCATTAAAAACAAAATCAAAATGCCCGAGCTCATCGAACAAAGCAAAATTATGTAAGTAAACGATATTATTTTCCATTTTGTGTTATTGTTCAGAAATTAAAGTGCATCCTGCCATTCTGTGCTGGCATTCTGGCATCCGGGCAGCCTGAAATTTTAATGCTGTTTCGGAAAACCCGTTCAACCATCTTGGAAAGTTAATTAAATTGCAATTCCCCCTCCTTCTCTCTTGCAGCTCCGCCAATGCCTGCGGTCTGCCCCAGCTGCACAAGCTGCGCCAGGACAATTGCGGTCTCTACAGCCACATCCGCGGCATCCCCATCTCCTACGGCGATGTGGGATCCCTCACCGCCGGCGTGCGCAGCTTCGTAGAGGAGGGCATCGCCCTGTGCCAGCCCGACCAGGTGCACATCTGCGACGGCAGCGAGCAGGAGAACAAGATGCTCATCAAGAGCCTCCTCGAGATGGGAACCATTGTCCCGCTGCCCAAGTATGAGAACTGCTGGCTGGCCCGCACCAACCCCGCCGATGTGGCCCGCGTCGAGTCCAAGACCTTCATCTGCACGGACCGCAAGGAGGAGACCATTCCCACTCCCCTGGACGGTGTCAAGGGCACCCTGGGCAACTGGATCTCGCCCAAGGACATGGAGGCTGCGGTGCAGCAGCGCTTCCCCGGCTGCATGAAGGGACGCACCATGTACGTGGTGCCCTTCAGCATGGGCCCAGTGGGCTCCCCACTCTCCAAGATCGGAATTGAGCTCACGGACTCCGCCTACGTGGTGGCCTCCATGAGGATCATGACCCGTATGGGCGCCGCCGTCCTGCGCCAGCTGGCCAAGAAGGAGGAGTTCGTCCGGGCCCTGCACTCCGTGGGAGCCCCCGCCAATGGCCAGGTGGATATGCCGTCCTGGCCCTGTGACCCCGAGAGGACCATCATCCTGCACAAGCCCGCCGAGAACCTCATTGTGTCCTATGGCTCTGGCTATGGTGGAAACTCCCTTCTGGGCAAGAAGTGCTTCGCCCTGAGAATCGGAAGCACCATTGCCAAGCGAGAGGGCTGGCTGGCCGAGCACATGCTCATCCTGGGCATCACGGATCCCAAGGGAGAGAAAAAGTACATCACCGCTGCCTTCCCCTCGGCCTGCGGCAAGACCAACCTGGCCATGTTGAACCCCTCTCTGGCCAACTACAAGGTGGAGTGCGTAGGCGACGACATCGCCTGGATGAAGTTCGACTCCCAAGGAGTCCTCCGCGCCATCAACCCGGAGAATGGCTTCTTCGGCGTTGCCCCTGGTACCTCCATGGAGACCAATCCCATTGCCATGAACACTGTGTTCAAGAACACAATCTTCACCAATGTGGCCTCCACTTCCGACGGCGGTGTCTTCTGGGAAGGCATGGAGAGCAGCCTGGCTCCCAATGTCCAGATCACCGACTGGCTGGGCAAGCCCTGGACTAAGGACTCCGGCAAGCCAGCTGCCCACCCCAACTCCCGCTTCTGCACCCCCGCCGCCCAGTGCCCCATCATTGATGGCGCCTGGGAGGATCCGGCTGGAGTGCCCATCTCCGCCATGCTCTTCGGAGGTCGTCGCCCAGCTGGTGTGCCCCTGATCTACGAGGCCAGGGACTGGACCCACGGTGTCTTCATCGGTGCCGCCATGAGGAGCGAGGCCACCGCCGCCGCGGAGCACAAGGGCAAGGTTATCATGCACGATCCCTTCGCCATGAGGCCGTTCTTCGGCTACAACTTCGGTGACTATGTGGCCCACTGGCTGAGCATGGAGAAGCGTGGCAAGGTGCCCAAGATCTTCCACGTCAACTGGTTCCGCAAGAGCACTGAGGGCAAGTTCATGTGGCCCGGATACGGTGAGAACTCCCGCGTCCTGGAGTGGATCCTGCGTAGGATCAACGGAGAGAAGTGCTACGTGGACTCGGCCATTGGACACATTCCAGCGGAAGGAGCCCTCAACCTGAATGGCATGAAGGAGGAAATCGATGTGGAGCAGTTGTTCTCGCTGCCCAAGGACTTCTGGTCCCAAGAGGTGAAGGACATTCGCACTTACTTTGAGTCCCAGGTGGGCGCCGATCTTCCGGCTGCCATCTACCAGAAGCTGGAGGATCTCTCCGCCCGCGTTGCCAACTTGTAAGGAGTTGGAGCTGAGGCAGGCACCATCCTGCAACATCTTTACCCGCCCTGCACCCGTGCAGCCACATACAAGAACATGTTATCCTGTCGTCTATATCCTGACATCCCGCAGTCGTTTCTCTAGAATTTAAGACCAAGACTTCCAGACTATTTATTATATAAGTAGCTGTAAGATTAGTTCATAAGCAAACTTAAAAAAAATGAACAAAAAACAAGAAAAAATAAAACAATGATTTTATAGCCCATAAAACATTCATGTTTTTTATACAGTCGAAAAGGTTGGCATCGGCCGAATCTTTAAAATCGGAGAACCATTGGGGAAGATATAACCATCCCTTTGACCCCTATAGCGGGGCCCCATTTTTAAGGGATCCCTCACAAAAAATGGACAAAAATATAACAAAAATATTGTCTCAGGATTTTGATGCAGAATGGTGGAAAATCAATCCATAAATCGTTTAAGGTACTCCGCTTGAGAATCGGATGAGAATTGAGGAAGATACAGCCATCCCTGTGGCCCCTATAGGAGAAAACCCCATTTTCAAGGGACCCATCACAAAAAATGGACGAAAAATCGAAAAAATATTTTGTCTCAGGATTTTGATGCAGAATGGTGGAGAATCAATCCACAAATCGTTTAAGGTACTCCGCTTGAGAATCGGATGAGAATTGGGAAAAATATAGTCATCATTGTGGACCCTATAGGGGAAAACCCCATTTTCAAGGGACCCATCACAAAAAATGGACGAAAAATCGAAAAAATATTTTGTCTCAGGATTTTGATGCAGAAGGGTGCAATATCAATCCACAAATCGTTTAAGGTACTCCGCTTGAGAATCGGATGAGAATTGAGGAAGATACAGCCATCCCTGTGGCCCCTATAGGAGAAAACCCCATTTTCAAGGGACCCATCACAAAAAATGGACGAAAAATCGAAAAAATATTTTGTCTCAGGATTTTGATGCAGAAGGGTGCAATATCAATCCACAAATCGTTTAAGGTACTCCGCTTGAGAATCGGATGAGAATTGGGAAAAATATAGTCATCATTGTGGACCCTATAGGGGAAAACCCCATTTTCAAGGGACCCAACACAAAAAATGGACGAAAAATCGAAAAAATATTTTGTCTCAGGATTTTGATGCAGAATGGCGGAGAATCAATCCACAAATCGTTTAAGGTACTCCGCTTGAGAATCGGATGAGAATTGAGGAAAATACAGCCATCCCTGTGGCCCCTATAGGGGAAAACCCCATTTTCAAGGGACCCATCACAAAAAATGGACGAAAAATCGAAAAAATATTTTGTCTCAGGATTTTGATGCAGAAGGGTGCAATATCAATCCACAAATCGTTTAAGGTACTCCGCTTGAGAATCGGATGAGAATTGGGAAAAATATAGTCATCATTGTGGACCCTATAGGGGAAAACCCCATTTTCAAGGGACCCATCACAAAAAATGGACGAAAAATCGAAAAAATATTTTGTCTCAGGATTTTGATGCAGAATGGCGGAGAATCAATCCACAAATCGCTTAAGGTACTCCGCTTGAGAATCGGATGAGAATTGAGGAAGATACAGCCATCCCTGTGGCCCTATAGGAGAAAACCCCATTTTCAAGGGACCCATCACAAAAAATGGACGAAAAATCTAAAAAATATTTTGTCTCAGGATTTTGATGCAGAAGGGTGCAATATCAATCCACAAATCGTTTAAGGTACTCCGCTTGAGAATCGGATGAGAATTGGGAAAAATATAGTCATCATTGTGGACCCTATAGGGGAAAACCCCATTTTCAAGGGACCCATCACAAAAAATGGACGAAAAATCGAAAAAATATTTTGTCTCAGGATTTCGATGCAGAATGGTGGAAAATCAATCCACAAATCGTTTAAGGTACTCCGCATGAGAATCGGATGAGAATTGAGGAAGATACAGCCATCCCTGTGGCCCCTATAGGAGAAAACCCCATTTTCAAGGGACCCATCACAAAAAATGGACGAAAAATCGAAAAAATATTTTGTCTCAGGATTTCGATGCAGAATGGTAGAGAATCACTCCAGAAATCGTTTAAGGTACTCCGCTTGAGAATCGGATGAGAATTGAGGAAGATATAGCCATCCCTGTGGCCCCTATAGGGGAAAACCCCATTTTCGAGGGACCCATCACAAAAAATGGACGAAAAATCTAAAAAATATTTTGTCGCAGGATTTTGATGCAGAATGGTAGCAAATCCATACACAAATCGTTTAAGGTACTCCGCTTGAGAATCGGATGAGAATTGAGGAAGATACAGCCATCCCTGTGGCCCCTATAGGGGAAAACCCCATTTTCGAGGGACCCATCATAAAAAATGGACGAAAAATCTAAAAAATATTTTGTCGCAGAATTTTGATGCAGAATGGTGGAGAATCACTCCAGAAATCGTTTAAGATACTCCGCTTGAGAATCAGATGAGAATTGAGGAAGATACAGCCATCCCTGTGTCCCGTATAGGGGAAAACCCCATTTTCAAGGGACCCATCACAAAAAATGGACGAAAAATCTAAAAAATATTTTGTCGCAGGATTTTGATGCAGAATGGTAGCAAATCAATCCAGAAATCGTTTAAGGTACTCCGCTTGAGAATCGGATGAGAATTGAGGAAGATATAGCCATCCCTGGGGCCCCTATAGGGGAAAACCCCATTTTCAAGGGACCCATCACAAAAAATGGACGAAAAATCTAAAAAATATTTTGTCGCAGGATTTTGATGCAGAATGGTAGCAAATCAATCCACAAATCGTTTAAGGTACTCCGCTTGAGAATCGGATGAGAATTGAGGAAGATATAGCCATCCCTGTGGCCCCTATAGGGGAAAACCCCATTTTCAAGGGACCCATCACAAAAAATGGACGAAAAATCTAAAAAATATTTTTTCGCAGGATTTTTATGCAGAATGGTAGCAAATCAATCCAGAAATCGTTTAAGGTACTCCGCTTGAGAATCGGATGAGAATTGTCGAAGATATAGCTTTAAAACTCAAGGTTATAACGATTATCTCAAAATTAACACAATAATTAGCTTGAAAGCTTAAAAAATATAAAATATTTTCCTTCCAAAGTTGCTAATAAAAATTAATTGCTCATGACTACTATTTTGATGAAATGATGAAGTCTGTGGTTAGCACTGTCATTTAAGTTTACTTATAAAGTTTACTAACTCAGTTTATTTATAAAGAAACTATTAAATAAATCATTCAGAAATATCCTATAAATGTTACAAAAATATACACTTTTTAGTACCTTAACCTTATGCACCTCACCTTATGCAATTTCCTTAAAAGCAAGCCATACCGGAATCTATTTTCTTTTATATATTAGAAGTCATAAAACATAAAAACCTGTGAGTAGATTCGCAAATCATCACTTCGCGCCGCATCCTTGGCGGCAATATCAACAGTCGTTGCATGTGGCAGCTTTTGACCAAATTGGCTCCGCATTCCAGTCGCGCTGGAAAATCGAGGAAAGCTCCGGAGAGTGGAGCTTTTCCACCGAGTGGAGGAGCCGGGAAAACCTGAAATACCTTTTGGGGAAGACCACAGTTCAGCTCGAGCAGCCGCCGCCGTAGCTTCGTCCGGGCGGACAGTTCGACGGTTGCAAAGCGGAAACGGAAGTGCAGAGCAACTGTTGCTTATCGTTGTGCGTTCGTGTGTTGGTCTTTGTGTTTGTGTCGGTTTCGGTTTCAATTTCGATTTCGTAAGGTGTGTGTGTGTGTGTGTTAAGAGTGTGTGAGTGGTAGCTGTGTCGGTGTTTGTTTTTTTGTGGCATTGTTGGTGTTGGACAATTAGCAAAGTTGCTATAACAGACCGCATTATCCAACAAATTTGATGAAAATGGCAAACATTAAACTCTAATGCGGCGCGCGGAGTAAAAGTGAGTTTGTCTTCATATTTCAAAACTGGGTATTGGTATGGGTGTATGTGTGTGTGTTGTGGGAGTGTATTGGTATGGCACTTTGTAAGCTGCGATTTGACATGTTGATTTATGCGCTGCTCTGCCTGTTGCCCCTAAACTCCGTGGTCCTTCCTCCCCAGTGGGGATTACCCGTGTCCTTTTCACGTTCGCCATCTCTTTTACGCTGCCACGGCACTTGTTGCGCTCTCACAGGACATTCACTTAATTGCTAATCCTCGCGCCCAGACGCGTCTAATTACACGTAAGTTTGCGCCATTCCTGTCTATTTCAAAAGGACTCGCATTTTTATGCCCACCCGTCGGCCATTTAAAGTGCAAATTGGCAGGAAACTAGCAAGGGGTTGGGGGAGATGGAAGGTCGTAGGCCAGAGTTCGGAGGCCACTTAATATGCCATCAACATGAGATTTGCACAAATGGCGCCCTGCCTCAGGAATTATGTGTTGCAATAAAATCGATGCCCAGAGGGGAGCAGGGCGGAGTGGCAAGACAGAGCGCCTGAAAGCCTCAAGTGGCGGCTAATGACCAACTGGCGACGTGACTTTGGCCGGATTTGTAATTTGCCAACTGACCAGGCCAACTGACCAGCCCAGAAACATTCCTACTTGTCTGTGAGAGTAAATACTAACACAGAGACCGGAGACCGGAGACCGGAGACCTACAACCACCCATCACTCACTCACCCACTACGCCCCCCTTTTTTCTCCGTGATCTTAAGTGTTTTATGGACTTTTCTTGTTTGTGTTCTCGCACTATGTTGTATATCCACTCCAGTTTATTTTTACAACACAGACACAGGACACACAGAGTCATACAAAAGGAAGAAAATATTTATGGGGGTGTGGGTGTTAAGTATGCGTTTAACGGGTGCGGACTTGTAATTAAGCAAAGTTTACAAAAAGGGTTGTCCGAACGGCCCATGAACTCCTGCCACTTAATGACGGTCCTGTGCAGGAAGAGTCATTAGTCCTGGGCCCCTCCAATTATGGCAGGAAAAGAAAGCCCGGCCAAACAGAAGGAGAAAGCACAAAGAAGGTGCCAACAAATGCCAGGGTTATGCAAATGCAACTCTCGGTCCGCACTCCCCCACCTTTTTAAAGTCTGAAGGGTCAGGACACTCTCCATCAATAATTCAATCCACACTGATTGATTGGTTCCCCCAAGAAATATCGTTTATAATTCAAAAATCTGTATCAATTATTATCTTACACGGGCTTACCTTTCCTCTCCTACTGGTAGCTGGTACATATATATTTTTTATCTGAAAATCCCAATGCGTAGCCCGAGGACCTTACCCTAATACAATAAGCTGACTAAAGTCCCCAAGACCCCAACTCGTTGGCCTTTATGCATACAAAATTCCATATAATAAAAATAATAATAAAAGAAGTCGAAGCGGACCAAACTACTGGGTATTTGGTAAAAAAAAAAATAAAGAAACGAGAAAGGAAACCAATCGAATCAAAAGGAAAGAAACGTCTCAATGTGGGCGGACAGAATATTTCTATTGATTTGTTGTCTGCAGATTTTTGCAAAGCCCGTGAAAGGTAGTGTGGCTGGGGGACAGGTGAGCCCTGGACTCCGGGGCACTTCCATCAACATTTTGTTATCATATTCCCCAAACCAATCCCCTTCCCAGATACGTTGCGGTAGCAACACACCATTACGTGAAAATGCAAAATACAAGCAAAAATAAAGTAAAATAAAAAGGAAAATCAAATCCGAAAAAGGTAGCTGGAAAACAACAAGTTGCCAAACACTTGAATCAATCATTCGAATAATTGATGCCTTGTAAGTGGTATTTAGCCAGAGAGTTCTTTGGGGGCTTAAAGTGCAAACTTTTCATTCCGGGAACTTTGGACTTTGGATTGTTCAACGGTGGAGTTTCCTTCAAAGAAGTAGCTATTAAGTCACAGACTACATGGCAAGGACTATTATCAAAGTTTTAAATGTCTTTAAAAGAAAAGAAAAGTAGAGTTACAGATTTGGAAGTACTTTAGTTAGAGCCACTAAACAGACTCACCTCTGTATTAGATCACGGAATACCTTAAACAGGGCAGCCAACAGGTAGAAAACCAGGTGAGCTGCCACCGTTATTCCGCACTATTTGTTTTCCCATATGGACACGTACTCACGCACCACCGTGTCCTCTTTCGTGTGTGAGTATAATTCCGGACTGTGTGTGTGTGTGTGGTTGTGTCTATTTGTGCACAGGATAGATAATAATGGCCTGCAGGTCAGACGTGAGCTGGCCGTGGAGAGTGGCAATTTGAAGCAAACACGTGTCCATGGGAAACACCATGCAACCTCTCGGATGAAACATAAAGGGGCCAAGGGGGTGAGTTCAACATGCCAGGCCACTTGCAACAAACGCCATTGGGGAGTTGGCAAATGTATCGTAAAACTAGAGTGCATCCTTGCAACCTTGCGTCCGGGCATCCTGTTTTCGATTGCATGGAAAATCACTTGGGCCGCCGAGAGGAAATGGCCGACACTTGCTGTATCTCTCATGCTGGCCATCATAATCGAAGGCGCCGGAATGTAGGCAACAAAACGCTTCGAGGAACTAAACTTTAATAGCTGCAAGCCAAAACTCTGAGCCCGCAGCTTGGAGCTCGCAGCTCGGAGCTTGGTGCTGGCAAATCCCATTAGAGAACTTTGTTGCCCCGGCAAGCGGATTGTTTGGGGCAAAAACTTTTGCATAAGTTGCCACCAACTGTGTGGGGTGTTGACAGTCGGCGAGGGGTGTTGAGTGGGCGATGGGCCGGCGGTTTCTGGGCGGTGCGATAATAGGGGCATCCACTTACTCTGACTCTGACTTGGAGAGAAAACCAGAAGACCGACGCACATTTAACAATAATTGCCAGGCCAAATAGAGCGCTTCCCTCCGGTCTCTGGGCCGAAAGTCAAGGAAATGACTTGCGGCCAATGACGGCGCCATCGCTGCCGCCCCCTTTTGTGGTCAATCTGTGGGCGGTGCTGGGAATGGCCTGGCCTTTATGATGCCCGGTTTCTATTGCCTGCTTTTCATTATTTTGATTAAATACAGATAAAGCCATAAATTATGTTTACTTTGTGCCCATTTAGGCAAGGTTCCGAACGGTCAGGGGCGCACTTTGTATTATCTTTTTATATGTATTTGTGGCGTAATGTGTCTATGTGTGGGTATATGTGCGGGATGAGTAATGGCCCATGATATTTACACATGAGTTGGCCATCAGCGGAACGTTAACATCGCATCTGCCCCCCCATTTCATAATTTTGATAAATGCCCAGCGAAAATAACCAAGAATTTTGCATACTTTCTCCATGAATTTAGCAAATAAACTAAGGATTTGTTTTTAAAAACATCTTTTTAATATTATATCCCAACCAGGCCCTGCAATGACCCAACAACAGCGCAGCTGGGACGAAGGAGCTGTCAGCGGAGGCTCCTACGGTCATCCGCAAGCCTCTCATCACAAAATCCAGACACGGGCTGCCAGCAATCCCCTGCCCTGCAAAGGAGCCACGCCCAAGCTGCCCAGGTGAGATGAAACCTCAGTTTTAATGTAAACTTTACTTATATCTGGAATCTAGACCCTATCATGCCACCCAATCGTCGGGTGGCTACAATTATGGCGGACACGATACTCCGCGAAGTCCCAAGATCACCACCACCTTTGCTAACGACAGCTGCGACGAGGAGAGCAGTTCCACGCCGAGCTCCTACTACCAGACACCATCCTCCGGGTCCATTGACGACTCTGCCTCCTTGCTCAGCGGACGCACAACCGCCAGGAGTCCCAAGTCCCCGTGCCAATTCGTCTTCGATGCAGTGAGTCCGAGCCACGGACGGAAGTTCGAGTACTACGAACCCATTTCCCCCGACGACGGGGCCTTGTACTACGATCCCCCCACGTCCCCCAGGCGGCAGGGTTCCAAGAAGCTCAGCAGAAGCGCCAAGGCACCACTGGAAACAGTACCGCAGCTGACCACCACTGGAGTGGATGAGAGTGTGGCGGTGGCCATGGCCATGGGAAGTGGTAGCTATTCCAAAAGTGGCCAAAACAAGCGGCAGCGGGATGAATGGGAGCTGCCGGTCATCAGTAAGATCGAGGCTCGTAATCTCAGCGCCATGGCGGGATCAGGGAATGGGTCTGGATCTGGTAACTACTATGGCCTGAAGCGGGACTCTTGCGTAACGGACTGCACCCAGTTGTCGATGGAATCGGGGGAGACCTGTACCCAACACACAACCAGCACCCTGGTGACCCATACCACCACCAGCTTCAGCTTCACAGAACCCGAAATGGACCCGGATCACACGGCAGGAAGACCCCAAACCCAGTCGCATCGCCAGCGCAGGCATGCCATCAACATCACCTCCAATCCCGGCTACCAGGTGCTCCACAGCTCCCACTCCACGCTGGACCGCACCTGTTCGGACAGTGTGGTATCGCTGCGCTACCGCAAGTCCACCAGTGACCTTACCCAGGAGGCGGATCACGAGCTGAGTGGCTGCAAGCCTCCTGCCAAGCCGAAGAGGGACTCCCATGTAGAGCACAAGCCTCGGCGCAGGGGCAGCTCCAAGGGGGGATTGGCCTACCTGGCCAGCCGGCGAAGCTCCAGGGAATCCATGAAAAGCGCCTGCTCCAATGCCTCCATTGTGTCCAACGACGATGTGGGACCTCTAGCCTTCCAGAGCTCGAACCGAGGGCGTCAGCGCAGAACCTCTAACTTTCTGGAGTTGCCAGGTGGGTTTTCCCATTAGCTCTAGATTCCTGTACCTATAAAGATCCTTTTTAGTTCCCGATCATGTGCGTCCTCGTGTGTGCTCCCTGCCGGAGAGACCGTACAACCCCCGGGCCAGTGATGACCTGTACCGCCTGCGGCACTTCTCCATCAGCAAGGGCAACGTCGTCAATTGCGGTGATTCGATAATATCTAGAAGATCTCGCAGCAACACCAGTGTGAATTCCACCAACAGCCGGGCCAGTGAGCGCTCCCCCTTCGAGGGAAGCTGTTGCGGAGCCGGATACGCGAATGTGGACTCGCTGCCCGCCTCCCCGGACGACTCGGACAACCTGGAACCACCGCCACCGGCCAGATACCGAGTAGTGATGCTGGGGGATGCCGGAGTGGGCAAGACGGCGCTCGTCAATCAGTTCATGACCTCGGAGTACATGCACACCTACGATGCCAGTCTGGGTAAGTGTTATAGTCCCAGTTCCATGTGGACCCTTGAATCCCATTGGAGCGCAGTAAGTACTGCCGTATAACCCCTAGCTGGAACCTATGTGTGTGCCCGAAAACCCCTAGCTTCCCAGCTGCCACTTGGGTCTTTAGAGTTTAATTCTGATCTGAGTTTTAGACGACGAGTTCGGCGAGAAGACGGTGAGCGTGCTGCTGGATGACGAGGAGTCCGATATGGTCTTCATCGACCATCCCAGCGTCGAGATGAGTGTGGAGAACTCGCTTTCCACCTACGAGCCCCATGGCTGTGTCGTTGTGTTCTCGGTGGTGGATCGCGGCTCCTTCCGGGTGGCCGAGGAAATCATCAATTATTTGTGGCAGGAGAACTACACAAAGGACAAGGCGGTCATCCTCGTCGGCAACAAGGCGGATCTGGCTCGTGCCCGGCTTATCACGTCGCAGGGTAAGTCCGGCTACTTAATTATGATGGCTTGATTTCATTTCAGTCTCCGTTTCCTCCTCCAAAAATTTTCTTTCTCTTGGCTCCTGCCACCTCAGAGGGCAAAGCCCTGGCCGCCTCACGCGATGCCAAATTTATTGAGACGTCCAGTGGCATACAGCACAACGTCGATGAGCTGCTAGTGGGGATATTGAAGCAGGTGAGTGTGCCAGGCATCCAGGTGTTCCGGGGGTCAACTGAGCAGGGTCGGGGGTTGCGGCTGTTTGCGGTAAGGTGCGAAACACACGCAACCCCACGGTGCATGGCCGAAATGTGCAGGAAATGGAGTTAAACGGATATGCCGAGTCGGTGTGGTTGGCAACCAGTGTTGGCCAAAAGTGGGCTGGATTCATGAAGCTCTTTGAAAGTAAAATTCAAGAGAGACCTTTGAATGTTTTTGATTTTTAATCAATATTCATTATTTTGTATACCTTCACCCATTATTTTATTTTTTGATACAAATTCTTTTTGTAATAAAACTTAATTGGCTATTTTTAGCCACATTTTGAATCCTCCAGACCGCCAAGCTGCCAGACTGCCATAACCGCCAACATTGGTTGCCATGGCTCGGCGCAGGTTGGTTTCTGGCCTGGGTGGGGCCTGCTTCCGGATCGAGTCACTAATTAATGAAAATTGTGCGAACGGAAACCCGGTCAGGCTAACCAGATTAGTCGTCTGGCCTCCTTCCACTTGCACTCTCACTCTCACTGCCAGACTGCCACTACCACTTTCAGTTTCTTGACCCGTTTCCACCATTTTTCCTTTTAACCGAATCAGATGCGACTAAAGGAGAAGCGGGAGAAGAAGGCCACCGCCTCGAAGATGAAGACTTCGCGCACCCACATATCCCTGCACCTGGCCAAGGAGCTGCTCCAGAAGATATGCCTGAGCGACATATCCAAGTCGAAGAGCTGCGAGAACCTGCATGTCCTATAAAGACGTCAGCCCGATGGAGGATTTTATCCAAAAACCAATCACATATGCTGAGACATCTTTCGCCACGGCATTCCAGTGCGAAATTTGCTAAAAACGATGCCACAATCCTGTGTATATTGTGTACAAAAAAAACAAGAGAGAATTTTATCAAAAGCCAGGCTGCCAGGCGAAATATTCCAAATGCCATTCAGATTAGCCCGAAAAAAAAAGCCCAAGAGGGGTATGGTTAGGCCCCTTTATTTGGGCTTCGTTTATTAAAAGTTTAATGCCGGGTCGCCGAGGCTGGCCTCCTTTTTTATTTACATTTTTTTTGTGTTGATGCTGAAGCTGATGTTGAATTTAACAAGTCATCGGCTGTGGTCAGGCCTCCAGAAGCGGCGATAATCCACTTGTTTATGACGGATGTTATGGATCGTGGGGGCTTATCAGAGCCAGACGCTCCTCCATTTGAATGCCGAAGGCCGGACTGATAATCCCCGCGATCCGATTCCCATTCCGATTCAGATTCCGCCAGAGATTTCTCGCATTTTTATGACCCAGCCACGCGTGTGCAGCCTTCAACCCACAAATCAGAAAATGTATTACTAATTTTACCTTTTAGATACAATATGATATAAGTATTTAGATGTGTACTTGCGTATTTATGTGTTCCAAGGCGAAATAACTTCAATTCCAATAATGTGCTGTCAATTGAACTTGAAACGCTTAAGGAGCCAGTTCCCAGGAGGATAACAAAAGAAACTTTATAGATGTTGATTTTTGTGAATATAACAGATATACTATACATTATATATACATACCTATATGAGATAAGTAATATTATTATGTATGTTAGGATATATGCTGGAATATATATATATTTATTTAACGCTCCACCTGCTTTGCAAAAGAAATTCTTCCAATTGACGAAAAAAACTCATATCGGAATGACTGTTTAATGTTGACTGTTGTTAGTCTAAGCCAAGGAGAAAGAACTATCATTTAATCAAAGTACTTAACTCAGACGTAACTATATATACATATACATATATTTAATACAAATCCTAACGATATATATTATATATTTATGCATGTACTTGTGTGGAACTTCTAACACTTCTGAACTCATACGCTTATATTTGAAAAATACCTTTACAAAATGCGAGGGCAAAAACAAACGAATAAAAAAATACAAAAAAAAAAAAGAACTAAGAATAAAAACAAATCTAAACTAAAACTAAATAAAACTCCAACTATTTTCATACGCAAACTTACACATTAGAGGAGAGGAAATGCTAGAATTCCAAATGAAATTGTCGGATTGTCGAGGAGGCTCTCTCCAGGACGAGGACGAGGACGAGGCCAGGCCAGAATGTTCACTCATGTTTGCATTGCCATTTCCCCCCCTTTAAAGCCGCCGTCGAGAGCACTCTATCATTTTTAACATTTAACCAAACAAAACAGAAAGTTCCTCCTCGCCGCAAACTTTTAATTTGCATTGCCAACAAAATGGCAAAATGGCAAAGGAATTTTCAGCATTTCCACCAGGGCTATGGCAATGGCAATCCGCGACAAGGTCGAGGCTTTAATTTGATTTCCCAATCAAATCGCTGGCAAGCTCAAACCTCAAACTTGATTTCCAAAATCGAATTACAACCTTAAAAAGCTATCAACGCCCACCGAATTTATTGTGTATTAAATGTAAACATTAAAACAAGAACAATTGACAAGAAGCGTAGTGGAAAATCGATTTAAATAATAATTGTTTCCTAATGAGATTTTACTGCAGAATTAACTGGCTTAAAGCGTACCTGTGTAGAGTTATCCAATCGAATACAATATATAGTATATATATATAAAATAATGTGTATATGTAAAGATCGATGTATATTTTTCCAAGCTAAGCAGGGGAGAGACAGAGAAAAGCTCGAAACAAAATCTAATCCACAATTGTATACACTTTGGCAGCCTTTGTGCCTGTCACTGCGATGAGGCTGCAGGAAAAGCAAATTAATTAGAGTACACAGAGATAAAATCCTATTTCTTTTGTTTTTTGATGTTTGTATAACTGCTATCTTACCTCCCCAACCAACAAGCCCGAGATCTCAAACCGATAAAATAAAGGACAAGGACAGTCTGTAACTGGGTAACAAACTGGGTGCCTACTTTTCTGGGGGTCAGGGTTCACGGTTCAATCTCTTGCAGCTTGTTGCGGATAAACTTGCGGCAACACCCACAACTTTCCGCTATTGCCAACTCATGCCTCAGCTGTTGCGCACTTGCGGTTCATTTGGGGGCAACCAAGGAGGGGGCCAGGAGCCAGGACGTGGCAATGTGTTAAGTGCCTGTTGTCAATCGCACCCGAAAACTTTGCCGTAAAGTGAACTTCCACGGAACACTTGCACGGGTCTGTGAATCAATCAGGCGTTGGTTTTCCGTAATTAACTTACCCGGAGAGTCGGCCGATGAGACTGAAAAGTTGACAATCCGGCTCTGATTGATGGCCAGAGTTGTGCAAAGATTTACACGGAGCACCGTATAGCCGTCATGGCAACCTCAAATATAAACGTTAATATATATTTATGTATCTTTTCGTTGGCAACGTTAAGAGAAAAACTTTGATGGCCCAGCAGGCAGCAGGGGGTCTCATAATTTTAATGAGCTTATTTTATTATATTTAACGCACCAAGGAGTCGCTACTGCCACTGCCACTGCCTCTGGTACTCCCACTACCACTCTCACTCCCACTGTTTCTTCAGTTTATCCTGAAAATGCTTCCTTTTTGTTGAGATTGTTTTGGCCTGTACCTTCGCCCAGCTCGGTGGCCAAATCAAACTAATTCCAAGTTCAATAAACAAGCGCAAATGAATATCCCGCCCCGGAGCCATTCCTTAATCAGCATCCTCAAATCCTCGAAGGCGGTGTAAATTCTCATAAAAAAATACACAAACTGCGGAGCTGTGGCATTGAATCGTCGAGGTGGAAGTCATTCAAGGATCCCAGGACCTTCTCGTGCTCTTTTCGCCATCCAGCCAGCCAGTCGTAATCATAATCGAGTCGCTGGAGACTCGACGAAAATCGATTAAAAGCTTAAGTCGGTAGATTTTCCAAGGAACTGGATGTGATTAATATTAAGCCAATTAGTCGGCGGAGCAGGTATGAAGCATTAAGTGTGTCTAGGGACTTACACTTAATACCCCCTGGTCAGATTTCATTTCGAATTTCACATCGATTAGGTATGACATATGGAAAATAAAGGTATGCTCCTCCTACGAAAGGATTACTTTATCCCTTGCCCTCCCCAGAAAAAAAAGGGATCATAAAAGATGCCATAGCATACATAATTTTTTTCTACCTTGGGCTCAAAAGCTGTTGGCCATCTGCCCATGTGTTTATGTGTGTTTGAGCCTAGTTGATAGGGCCAGGACTCCGGGGTAAGGAATATAGCTACTCAGACACACAGGCAAACAAAGTTCCAGGTATTCAGGTGGCTCGAAGATGGAGAAATATTCGCGCCGGCAGCCAACACTCTCGGGGGATTCATAACCAAATAAGCCGAATTTTTTTAGAGCATACTTTTCAGCGCACCATGGCGCCTGGCCCCGAATCCTTGCTTTGACGGCGCGTCCCGGAGCGTCCCGATGCCGCGCTGATGGAGGCAGGCGGTGACGAAACTGAAATTTACGAAAATGAAACTTTAAGCAATGTGGAAAATGAAATTTAAATAACGATTTATTGCCTTTGAAGTATGATTGTTTGCACGAAGGGACAAGAGCAAAAGCAAACAATGGGCGGATGGAGGTAAGATGGACTTTGGGATACCCTTTAAGGGGGAATTTATCAAGTTTTTATATTTTTTAAGATCTTAATTAAATAGTATAATATTTTGAGCAATTTATATGCAATTTAAAGCTTAAATAAACTAATAGTTGAAGACTTTATTTTTATCAAATAGAATGCTTGAAGCTACGGAATTCCTAAATAATATTTTAAAAATGTTAAAAATTGTACTTTTAAAGTTTATTAAGGACTTTAACATGTTATTTTCTTTAATGTAGTATAATGTTTCATGTATAGATCTTATAGATATAGAAACAGATTTCTATCATGTTATGTTTCATAATAGTTTCCAGAACTATATCCCAATGTAGAAAAAGTTCGAGAACTTCTCGAAACTTACTGTGCCAATTCCTGGGCATCTCCAATCCTCAAATCCATTCAATTTGAATGAAACCGTAAACAGCAAAGTAAATAAAGTATGAGTGCCCTTTCGAAAAAGCTATAGTTTGGCCGGAAACCTAAAAGAGGATGAGCGGGTTTGGTGTTTTGTGTGCCGCGAGGATAACAGGACCGTTTCACGTCCATCGAGTGCCCAGCCCCGTAAGCGTAATGAAGAGCGGATTGAATGGATGGGAAGGTCTGCGGCTGGCAGTCTGTCCCCCCTCGCCATCTATTCCGTCCGTGTTCACCTGTCCGTGTGGCAGGGTTATCAGAATCAGAGCCAAACGCAGTCGGCTGGGTCGCTCCTGGCTGTCTCAGAGGCTCCTGTTCGGGTTTCCAGTTCCTGCTCCTTTCTCATGTGTTTCACTTTTCGTTTTTTTCCTCCATTTTCTTCAACGCTGTCGCTGTCAATTCATCGCATTGGCATGAAATTGCTTTTTGCAACAGCAACAAGTTGCCGTAAAGGTACCATACTATACCACACCATACCTTACTATACTATACCGTACTATACATCTACATAGATATATGTACAAGGAGGGAGGCTAACTGGGGAGCTTACAAAAGGAAATGAGAAAAGGTTCTCATTGGCTTCCAGTTGCTTGTTTGTTTGTTTGCCTGCTGATGTTTGTAGGCCTGGATCCCTGTCCTGAGTCCTGGGTCCTGGGTCCTGGCGCCTGGCTCCTGGATATACTCGCTAAATTTGCATGGCAGTCGAGGAAACAGGAAGTTGTTCGGAGATGGGTATTGTTTATTCCCGAAAAGCGGGCGGCGGGTGCCCGCAAAAAGTCACCCAAAAACGAACCGAAAATGCCCAAAAAATTGGAAAGACAGGAGTGGGAGGGGCACTCGCGGCATGTAAATTACAAGCGGAATTTCGATTGCAGCCCACGACGGCCCTCGACCAGGAGAAGGCGGTGTGTTTTATTTTGTGTGTTTTGTTGTTGGGGGAGGTGTAGAATAATGTTCGAGGAGACGGAATTAAATGCGAAATGTGAAAGGACCACGACAAAATAATCTCTCAAATGTAAGAAAATTGTTTGGCGGGCAACGGGGGATCCTTTGCTCGTATTTTGCTTTTCGGTTTTCTTCCTTTTCTGCTCCTGCTAAATGCCAAAATGGCAATTTGCTAAAGTTTTCCCCAGAAGCAGAGCAGACGAGAGTGGCAGGGGCAAGGACAGTGCCATCAGATGGGGTGCCAGAACGGCGCAGGGTCAAGGGAGTTGATGCCATTTTTCGGTGAGGTCTGAGGGACATAAAAGTCAAAGCTTGTCTGTTACATTCTCTATCTGCTCGTACACTTTTCAAATTTATACCCTCGGACTTTGTGTTCCTAAATCAACAAGTTTAGTCCAAACACGAGCTCTATTTTAATTGAGGTATCCGAAAGGTATACGAAAAAAGAGAGGTAAACAAATGAAACCCATTAGCTTATTAATAATAAAAGTCTGGATAAATGTATAAGGAAATATTTGCAAAGTCTCTAATTGATTAGGAAATAGGTGAGGAATTCTTTTTAGAAAAATCTAAAAATAAACATAATGAGTTCTTACTAGACCATCTTATACTGATTATATTTAGAAGGATTATAATTAAAACCTTTTCTCTCTCTGTATCTAACTCGGCTCTCATCGTTGTAGTTGCTCAAGCTCAACTGCTCAGCATCCTGGCACTTGTTGAGCGTTTTGCAAACGAATACCAACAAGAACGTGTCAAAGAAATTGAAATTCACAGTGTGTGTTTTTCGTTTTGAGTGTGTTGTGGGTGTGCTGGTGTGGGGGTTGTTGCCTTTGGTTTTAGGGTAGCAGGTGGCAGGATGGCAGGCTGGCAAGATGGCTGGATGGCTGGATGGCAGGTGAGCCCAGTGAGCTCCTTGCTGTCAGTGAAACGCAGAAGGGCAACCTTTATGCCAAGGGGGGCAAGAACTCGACTGTGGCAGCTACATAATGCAGTCAGCGCACGATTGGCAAAATGCTCGGGGAACCTGCAACTCCCTCTGTCCTTGGAGAACGGCCAGAGGGCTCGCTGGGGATGATTGGCGGGGGTAGCTGGCAGTGTTTGGCTACGCCCCAGACTGGTTGGTGACCTTGCACCCATGCCCCCGTCAAATGGTCTGTGAACCCGAGTGGTCTCGGCCACCTACGCATCCTGTCCGGTGCCATAAAGTGCATGCAACTCTGTTGCAACCGACACGGCAGTTCAGCAAGGACGTTTCGCAACCGCAAGAGCCTGACCGCAAGTTTGAGGTCCTTTGAAATTTCGCTTAATTTGGACTTGACCATGGCCGTTAATAAGTTAAAACGGTTGGTAGTCGCCAGGGGAAGTTGTTAGTCGTTCATTTGGTTCATGAATTATGCAAATGAAATTGTACGTGGACTCTTCATTTTTGATTTTTTTTTTAACCCGCCAACCGGACGACACACACATAATATTGACACTGGTGGTGTACGGATATGTGGGTCGCATGGTCGGCGATTGCATTTAATTTTCCAGCAGATTACGTTGACAGACGCCCACCGAGTACCGGACAGGCGGACACACGGACAGCCAGACGGATGGCGACTGATTTTCGTCATTGTTCAACGATGGTGGCAGCCCTGGGGAATAGGTTAACGTTTGCATAATCAGTTGAATGGCAACTGCACGGCTATTTCCCGCAATTCAGTTCCGGACTGGACCCGCGACCGGGATCGGGACCGGGGAAAAAAAGGATTACGCGGGGGAATACTAAAGGCTCTACAATGCATAATATTCCCTCAATGTCCATCAACGTGTAATGGCTGAATTTTCGGTTCGGCGGTTCGGCTCAATGAATAAATGAGACATAATACACTCGAGTTAATGGTATTTTCATTCAAATAACCTGACATTACTGAAAGTGCGACATTTTTAAGGGATTAAATGTAAAGGATGATTGAAATGAGGCTTAATAAATGAATAATTTTGAAAAATGTACACTTACCTTGGGCAAAGAAAAAGTCTTTTTATTAAAACAACTTTATTCAGTTTTTGATGTATTTGTTCGAATTTCTGTTAATATATTTTTTAATTTCCAATTTTAATTAAAAACTGCATGCTTTTGAGCTCAAATATCTTCTACTTTTAATAGCATACTTTTGAGCTTCTTAAATATAACAGTTGAAACCATAAATACGACTATTTATTTGAATGCGCTATAAAATAAAGCTTTTACAACTTTTCCAACTGATTCTGAAAGCTTTTTATTATCCTGACAAAAGGATAACTTAGTTCAGACATGAACCAAGGTCCTTAAACCTTAATAAATGTTTTGAAAACCATAAAATTTCAGTTTTATTGAGGTAGCCCTTGTTTTCCACAAAAACTCTGGACTTCAATTGATTATAAATTTTATTAAAATGACTCTAAATATAAAACAGTCGACTAATTGTATCTAATATTAGCATTGCATAAGAAGTGTGCTTTACTGTGGGTGCTTTAAAATATTTACAGTACATATTACAAAGGAATTGTGTTTATGGCTCGATCCTAACTAGATCCAAACTGTAGGATAAATGGGACGTATCATCTACTTGTTAAAGTTCTCGATCTGCTGGAGCACCCAACTCCTGGAGGCCGACTGGCAGACGATGACTCCGGGTCGTGACTGTTGGCTAACAAAATCCTTTGGCGGCTTTGGGGCTATCTCCGGAGGAGGACGTGGCCCGAGAGGTGGAGGCGGAGGTGGACTGCTGGGACGTCGCACGTGCAGCTCGTACTCTCCGGAACGCTTGTCGTTGTCGTCACTGTAGATGGCCGAGTCCCGGAAATCGTTCTCCAAGCTGTCCTCCACCTGCTGCTCGTACTCGAAGGCTCCTCCAGTGGAGGAGGAAGAGGATGACTTCTCCCCGTTGGACTTCTGCTTCCTCTGGTGCTCGCACATGCTGTCGCTGGAGGAGGAGGTAAGCGAGAAGAACGAGTCCCGCTCAGAGTGAGCCGACAGGACCCCCAGGACTCCGAAGAGTGCCTTGGGATCAGCATAGTCCACGTGCGCCATCCTCTCCCCCAGCGCTTCGCTTCCCTGACGATGCAAGACGCTCTGCCGGCACATTTCGCTTACATCGGAGACCCTGCGCTCCGGCGGGCGGTTGGACCGGCCAAAGGACATGTCCAGGGACTTCAGAGCCCGCGGTAGCAGAGAGCTCTCCGACCCGGTAACTAAACTCTTTCCCGACCCCTCCAATGACATATTGATCACAGTGCTCTGGCTATCCCGCTTCAGAGTCGATCCAGATCCTGTGGAGGAAGTGGATGTGCCCGAGGAACTGCAACTATCCCGCTGCACTGCATCCTCGCCAACACGTTGGAGAACTCCATCCGGAGAGTATACCAAGGTCACGTAATCCGACTCTGGCCGGGGGGCTGTGGGCGTGGTCTTCGATCGTTTCTTCAGCAGCTGGGAGGACTTGGCACGTCCCAGGACTGGCGAGAACTTGTACGGGACATGGACGTTACGGAGTAGCGTCTCATAGATGGGTTCTTCCGGCACAGAGTCCACAGAGTCTTCTACTCTTCGGTTCGCCTGGTCATCCGTTTCCAGGGGCGGTGGAGATCTTGAAGGGGGTCTCGGAGGGGGAACGAATGCTGGCGGACGACTCAGGTCCTGTACAGGACTCACAGGACTTTCGCGCCTCTTTTGCGTTTTGTTGTAAATCCTCTCGAACTCCTTGTTGTTCTTGAGCAAGTCCAGGACTATCTGGGCATCTCTTTTTGACTTCTCGGCTGGCGACAGGAGCTCGGTCTCCTGATCCTGTTCATAGAATTCAGTCCTGGGCGCATCATCTAGGGTAGAGGCTTCCTGGGCCAGTTCCACTTCCTGTTCCGGGCGCAGCTCTTCCGTGGACTCGGTTATCTTGAGCACCGTGGAACTGCTGCTGTCGAACTCGCTGAGATCCATGTAGAACTTGGAGCAGCTCTTGGTGCTGGTGCTGCTCCTCTGCTTCTTGATGGTGGCTATCCGCTTGGGCATCGTCTTGTGGTTGTACTGCTTCACCTCGAAGAATCCCTTGCCCTTGGTCTTGCGCTCGCTGAGATCGGGCTTGCTGCCGCGCAAGGAGGCGGCACTGTCTTCATCCTGCTCCTCCTCGTCCAGACTGAAGCCCCCAATGCGGGGTACTGACTTGCTGCGCTCCTTGAGCGCCTTGTAGCTGAAGACCGGCGAGTGGGACTTGGCACTGCGACTGCGCTGATCCCGCAGGATGCAGGCACAGGGATCCTGATCCGACTTGACCCCAGACTCACACTTGCATGGACTCTTGACCGGTGTCTTGGACTCCTCCTTGATGCCGGGATCTCGTTTCCGGTATCTCATGGCAGCCGCCAGCTTCTGCAAGGCCGTGTCGTCCAGGCTGTTGTTCCTGGCCAGAGGCTTTGCGGGTTTGGCCTGCGGGGAGTCCTCCTCCGCCGTCTCCAGGGACTCGTTGAAGCTATCGAAGGAGCTGGAATTGGTCACCGTCTTCCGCTTGAACTTGGAGTTCCGCTGGCGGATCTCACTCCGCCGACAGGCATTCCTTCGCTCCAAGTACGTCGGGGTGGAGTTGCTGCCCGAGTGGAGACTCCACTTCCAGGTGCTGCGATCAGGCGTGCGATCTGCGTTTAAGGATACAAGTTAGTGAAACCAATACAAGATCGTTGGGGGATAGGATGATAAGCGGATGGGTGAGCTGGAGGAGGTGGACTATCAACAAAACACCAGTGAGTATGCATTCTAAGTTTACCGGAAAACAGCAGCAGCACATCATGCAGTCTTTTGTTAGTTAGTTACTTATTTTTTCGGGTGAGTTTAGTCTACTGTACGAGTACAATGTGGATTAGGATGCATGCAGAAACATAGAGCCCCACCCCAAGATTAGTTCAGGCCAATTAAAGCTAACAAACCAAATACGATTCTAGCAATACTTACTAGGCTCTCCGGTTACCAGAGTTACATTTACGAATACTACGATTACGATTAGGATGTTTAACAATTAGATGTCTACAGCCCGTTTGTTTTTTTTTTGTTTATTATTCTGTCCGATTGGTTTGTATTTTATATTATAGAATATATATTTTTTGTTTTTGGTTTTGAAATAGATCGGTTTCAGTCTCTGGGTGTGGGGTTTTAGCCTTAGAACGCCTTAAACACTACGCAAAGTTTTTTCGTTTCTTGGTTTTGGGGTGTTTAGTTTTAGAATGCATCACTGGTAGTACTACAACGGTAAACATATAGCATATTCGTAGAGTAGAGTTAGATAATTGGACAGCTTTGAACATTTAGATTCAATTAGTACTAAGTAGGACACCACTAAGCACATGGGTGGATCGGGATTAGAGTGGCCCCCAAAAAACGAAATATAGTCGGAGGAAAAAACACTTAACGATCAATGGATGCCAGGGGGTTTTGCAATTAAAATGCGCCTACATCGAGGGACCGGAGTAATAAATCAACCTCCTTCGGCGAGGCGTCGACAGATGTGGCACGATTTTGGCGAAAGGCTAGCAAAGTCGCGGCTGCCACTCGGTTATGTCACTTGGTCGCAGCTGGAGCGTGCGAATCATAAGTGCACCGGGAGAAAAGATGGAACCCTCAAGGATAGAGTCCTTGAACAGGTTGTCAGTGAGGAGATACTCTTGTAGTCTAAATGTGTCTTTAAAATGCTATGTTAGTTACAATCCATTTCTTACAGTGTGACTTTCCTTCTGTCGGAGCTTAGTAGACAGGCATTACCCAACTATAACAAGTACCCGCATGTGCATAACTCCAAGTACTTCATCATCATCATCTCGTGCAGTCCCCAATCCAAATCGTTAAGTGTTTTTTGGCCACATGACAAAGACGGCAAAAAAACGAAAACAAGAAACGGCCCTAGAGCCTGGGGCACTCTAGACTGACTGTCTTAGCCAAGTGGGGAGTAGTGCTCACCTTCCTCGTTGCCCAGCTGAAAGACCAGCTCCTTGGCGCGAAGTGGAATGTCTAGCTTCTCCAGCATGACACCTTTGATGTGCTGCGTCCAGACGCGCTTCTGGTCACGATTCCTGGCCGTCAGCTTGATTTGGTGTCGCGGCTCATCGAACGGGATGACGTAGAAGCTAGTCGGCTCCCCGGGCAAGTGCTCACTCAGCATCAGATTGTTTTGCTGCAGAGATTCAGGAAATCAGAAATTAAGGATAACCAAGAGGACAAGAGAGCAACACTCACCGATATATAAGTCTTGAACTGCAGGCGTCCGTCCTCCTTTTGTTTGGTGATGATCAGCATGGTGGCGAACAGAAGCACTAGGCGCGGCTTGTTGTGCTGCTCCATGAGGAGGCCCTCCTGGCGAAGTTCACCCAGAACAGTGAGCTCTGGAATGAGGTTATTGAAAAATACATGATTACTATCTAGAGTCTCTTCAAAAATCCGTAGTTATCGTTAGTAAAATAATTAACTATCAAACTATATTAAAATCTAACAACGAAATATTCGATATATATATTTCCAAATCCTGTCCAATAAACCCCTTCAAAATCTGGGTTATTCGTATAATTTAAACATTTCCCTGGCAAATAATTGGAATTTCTCTTTGTAAGAGTCTCGAACACTACCCACCTGGTCCCAGCCAGCCGTCGAGAATGCCGGACAGCTCCTTGACGCGACTCTGCTGCTCCTGCTTGCGCTTCACCTGGTCGATGTTGTGCGCCACCTGGCGCATTATGGCATAGGCCTCGGCCACCTCCTTGACGTCGCAGTGCTTGCGGAGGCTCTATATCAAAATAAATAAAAAGGGCAACCGTCAGTATGTCAGCTCACCCACTCTCCGACTCAACCACTTTCCCACCAACCCACCACTCCAAGAAAACTTACGTCGAGCAACAGATGGTACTTGAGGATGCGCTGCACCGGCTTGAGCAGATAGGAGCCGAGGGGCAGCCGGTGCTGGAGGTGCTTCTGGGTGGAGGCCAGCAGGGAGTAGGTGTGCGTGGCCTGAAGCAGCTTGGTCAGCAGCGAGATGGCTTCCGGGTAGCTTGTGCTGCAATGCCAAAACAGAAAATATAAAAAATAAGAAAACAAACCGAAGGATTTATGACATGTGCTTTAGGTCTTCATCATGGAACGCATTTGAATTTCAAATTGGGGGCCAGTAGGAGGACTCTCAATGGCCGACGATGGGAATGATATATGCCGCGTGTCATTTGGGGGCGACAAATCAAACCGCATCCATCGGCCAGAGTCCCGTCTCCCAAATTGGCATCGTGGCCAGGTAAACGTCAGTGTTTAAAGTGGAACATGCCGTGCCTGGACTGCAGAAAGCATGGAAAAAAATCTCCAATCTCTGGTGTTGTTTCGTGTCATGCTGCTAGCCAACTAACTATCGAGATTGGCTTTTTCTTAGTTTTTTTTTTTTGTTTGTGGGTTGCCGTAACCGTTCTTGGCCCAATCCCCAGGCATAGCAACAAAGTATCAAAGATGTAGCCAAACACGCTAAAATAGCGATGGCCAGAGTGGAGATTTAAGCCAGAAGTCAGGCAACCAGGTCAGGGAATGGTTGTACTTAGGGAAGTACTGTAATCATTTTGAATACTACAATAATGACTAAATTTTTCCACTGATAAGACCAGGTATTTTCGAGTATCCCCATTAAAGATAAACCCTCTGATAAGATTGCAAAGCTTTTTACATTTTTTGGGAATTCCCTTAACTCACCAGTAGGTTGTATACACATCAAAGCCTTCGCACAGATCTATGAAGCACCTGGCGATCCTGCCCGGATCCATTCCAGAGTTGACCAGACGCTGCAGCAGGACGGAGTTGAATTCGTAAATCTCTTCAATGTTGGCAAAGAGTATTTGCAATTCGTCGACCCGCAAGCAGGCACGTTCCTTCCAGTCCAGCAGGTAGCTAAAAATACACATTTTTGTTTGAAAGATCATCTTTATAAATAGAGAGAACACTCACCCCTTGATGACCTGACCCAGATCCTCCACAAAACTGCGCTCCGAGTCGACTATTTCCAGGCAGGCCCGCTCCAGGACACTCATCGCCGGCGGATGATGTGCATGGTGGGAGTCCCCGAGATCATTCTCGCTCTCCGCCAGGCTCTCCACACTGGCCAGATACGAGGTGGCCGTCAGCTTGCCGTTCAGCAGCTGGTCCGATCCAGAACTCGAGCTGGAGGAAGTGGAGCAAATGGAGGAGGAGGACAAGGGCCTGTTGTTGAGCCGGGCCAGTTCACTCAGGCGGGCGGCAAACTTGGGCTTGATGTCCGTCAGCCTGTCCAGGCTCTCCGCCGACAGCTTGTTGGCCTCCTCCAGCTCGGCCAGCTGCTCGGCAGTTGGCAGCTTGAGGGGCACTCCCCCGCCCAAGGTGCTGGCCTTGGCACCCAGACTCTTGGTGCGAGCGTAGGTCAGCAATGGAGAGCTGAGTATGGTAGAGGCACTGGCGGCGGAGGAGCTCCTGACGAGGGGCTTGCTGATCAGGGGCTTGTTGATGGCCTCTATCAGCTCGGCACTGGGTTCGTCCATGGCTTCCAGGTCGGCCAGGGTCAACCTCCCGATGTGCTGGGCCACCAAGTCAAAGTTAATGGTGTCCACCGTCTCCACGGGACTGAGGGGTTCACTGCAAACGAACTCTTTGGGCTTGACAGGAGTGGCAGGAGTGACTGGAGTAGCTGGAGTGGCAGGAGTTCTTGGAGTGGCAGGAGTTCTGGGAGTCCCAGGTGTTCCCGGCGTTCCTGGAGTGGCTGGCAGAGCTTGCTGCAGCTGCACACTGGTGGCCGCCAGCTGCTCCATTTCGATCAGCTTGATGCTCTGCTGGGAATCGTACCTTGGCAACGTCAACTTCCTCTGTGCCCCGAAAGGATGCCCATCGAAGTGGAAAGGAGTTCCCGGACCGGACTTGTTTGTCGGCGTGCGGTCCTCGTCCAGGGATTTCAGCTTCTCCGCGGCCTGGAAGTTCAGGGAATGCAGATACTCGTTGCTGGAGTCAAAGGTGGCCACCAGCTCGCTGCCCGACTGAGTGGATAGCTTGTTGGTGATCTTCGACAGCGGTATGTGGGAGAGCTTCAGTTTGGGCGCCGCAGGAGTTGCCGCAGATCCGGTGTTGGTTTTAATGTAGCGTCCTTGGGTAGGACTCTTGGGGGGCAGCTGTTGCTGGAGTGCCTCTTTGGAAACCGCCTCCACAGGCTGCACATCCGAGTGGGTGATTATGCGGTGGACATTGGGCGATAGGATGCGGATGTTGCTGCCACGCCGGCTGCCGCTCGAGGCGAGGCTGCTGCTGCTGCCGTGCAGATGTTGCTGTTGCTCCTGGCGAGTGGACTGGCTGCGTTGCACCACCAGGCGACTCAGTTGCGCGCCATCCGGCTCGTCCCGCAGGCCAGCTACCACCGGTGGCAGTTGTCCCACTCCGGCGAGATTGTAGCTCTGGTCATCGCTGGTGGCGACACTGGAGCCGCTGCACGTGGAGCTGTTGCTGTTGCTCCTCTTTGGCGTGGAGCTACCGCTGCTGGATGCCTTCGATTCGTGTGTTACGGCGGCTGCTGCTGCTCCCGCTGAGAGGCTGTTGGTCAAGGTGTCGTAGATGCCCAGAAGCGAAGGGGCTAGCTCTGTGGTGCTGCCTGTAATTACAAAAAAATAAATAACAATTAGACTTCCAAAGTTCACAACTAGTTCTACGAATATTTACACAGCTTCCAATGGCAATCCAACCCTCAATGATTATGTCATCTTCTTTGGAAATTCTGGCTTAAAAACGCAACAAACTTCATCACAAGCTGATGACTAATTTCGTTGATAATTTAAGTCTGAATTATAGTGAGCTGGATCGGAGGATCGCGTGGCCTGTGGGCGGAGTCTAATGCCCGGAGCCCTCGAAACCAAAACGATCCGACCCCGAACCCCAAGCACAGGCCCAAACGCGATCCCATTCGAGGTGCTGCATTGTTGATGGCTGGACAACACACACATGGTCGTAATCCGGCGATATTTGCCATAATTTTGTTGCATAAAATGATTTATACCGGGGCACACTACACACAACTGGGGCCAGGAGACGCTGATGTATTGAGTTGTTTAGCCCCAGGATGCATGTGAATGGCCAACGAGCCGCAGTCAGAACGTGGCCATCACTCAGGCGAATGTGTGTTCTTCTGGCTATGGAGCTGAGCTGGAGCTGAAGTTGGCGATGGAGTCTGGCCTGGCCTGGTCTGCTGCATAAATAAGTAGGTTGCTGCTGTTCGCCTGCCTGGCGGCCTGACATGTGAATTGATATGCCAACGCAACATGGCAAAACCGCAAGCCAACAACGAGCAACATGCAGCAGGCCAACAGGCCAGCAGCAACAGCAACAGCAACACCAAAGTCCAACGAGCAACTTGCAACAGGCAGCACATCGACCTGAGTCAACGGCAATTGGCATGAGCATTCCAAAGCTTGCTCATCATTTCTCACAAACGGTTCAATTAATCAAAAGTTGCCCACAACTGCGGATTTAATAACATTATCGGAGCACATACAGAGATATTCTTAAGCACATATAGTATATATATAGAAAGGTAGACTTGATCTATAAATTATAGATCGTGTCAGTCAATAGTCAATAGTGCAAGCGAGCAATTTTAATGACGGGTTCTGGTCTTATCCAGCACCGAAAGAAATAATATAATTTTTCCCCAAAAATATATTCATTTATTTTTATCATAAGAGTACCCCTTCTACTTCCTGTTCTTGGCCATTTTCAGTTAAAGCCCAAGATCGTAAACTCTATAAATAAAATAGCAGACTAAGAGGGAAATCATTTGCATTTTGCAACGAGTCACTGCCGCTTCGAGTCTTTCTTTTCGACTTCATTAAGGCCATGGCTTATGTGATTATCTCTTAGCACATTTGGCTAACAACCTAACAGCCCATACATCTCACTTCCCGCAGGAGCCGAGCCGAGTCGGGCCGAGAGTTGGGCAAATCAGGCAATTAACTTTTTAAGACAAAACTGCAGCCCACGTTGCAGCTACCGGGCGGATGGACCGGGCTTCAATTGGCCAAGCCAAGCTGGTTTTCAGCTATTTAGAGGTTTTTTTTTTCTCTTAGCCAGGCATTAGCATATGGCCGAGGCATCCTCAAATGCAACAGAAGCCGACGGGGCACTTTTCCCTCTAATTGCAAATGGTGTCAATGTGACTCGGGGGCTTCTCCCGAAGGCAGAAGGCTGCGGCTGAGAGTGCCACATGTTGGGCAACATTTTGCCAAAGCCACGAACAACAATTAGTTGGCATGAGTAGTGTGTGTGTGCCACGCCCACATTGCCGGCTGTGCAGGCTGCTCCGGCTGTCTTTTTTTCGGGGAGACTGACGACAAGTCGTAAACATGATTTGTACATTTAATTTTCCATCATTCTGTCTGATTATTTTGCGTGGGCAGCTGGCGCACAGGCACAGGCAGACTGGGAGATACATCCAGTGGCCAATAGATGCAAACTGGCAGATACTTTGCCAACCATCCTGTCGGCCTGACCCAGTTAGACACCAAAGCGTTTTGTTTAATTGCCAGGCCGTGGGCCGTGCCGACAGGTTCTCCGTTTGGGGTTTCTGCACTTTGGGAAGAGTTTTGAAACTACCAATAGTCGTATCTTAAAGGCTTTACCATTCTAACCCATTTATTCTTCTGGCTGGAAAAGATGTTAAGTGCAATCACTGCCACTTGCCAGAAAGCATTTAATTAAAAGCCAACAGCTGTGGTCGTTCCAAAAGCTATTTACGGCATAATTCCAGCCGAGATCTCGTCTTGGCCAGGCCAGGCTTATCTCGGGCCAGCGATCGCAGCGACTACAAATTCTGGCCTGTCGCCGTGTCAGCCCGGGAAACAATGCAAAGTAAGCTCACTGTCATTTTGCAATTTGCAACTGGAGTAGAGTAGGCCCCTCTACCACGAGCCACCACCCCCAGCCGCCAACGCTAGCTGAAAGGGTGTCAGGGCCAGAAATCGAGAAGGAGACCGACCGCGGCTCAGAGGTTGCCGTCTCGTCTGGTTTCATTTTCCAAATCCAAATCCCTTTAATGCCCCGGCGACAAAGTGTCTTATGGCAGACAGCCACCAGCCAGCTTGGTATGGTCGTAACTTTTTTTAGCAGCGGCTTCAGGTGTCCGCTCCCCACCTGGACGTGCAACGTCCTAAAGCCGGCAATTTATGGCCGATCTGACACAATTTCATAAGGCCCCAAAGGCTTCGGCTGAAGATTACGCGATTGTGGCTAAAAATAGCCACCCAGATAGTAGATAGCAGCCGGCTTTAGCCGACCAAAGGTCATCTGGCCGGAGATGCAGCTGCTGCTCCTGTTGGCCAAAAAAAAAAAAAGCCGAAACCAGAAAAAAAGCGTTGACTGATTTACAAGCCAAGTGCAAGTCGCTCAATTGCGACATTGAATTATGCGATCCGAAGCGAAGTGATTCGGCAAGGGAAAGTGCTCTGTCAGCGGTTCCAATCCGGAGTTGGAATCGGAATCGAAATCGACAGTGGCACACTGGGTTTATGGGTATATAATCATTAAAATATATTAAAAAATAATTAAAAATTTATATAAGATTGGAAGTCGGTTTATAGAAGAACTCCCGTATTAATACCCGGTACTAATAGAGTTTTGATTTGGCTTTAAAGTAATATTAAGGAAGTATTATAAACTACTGTTCTTCGTGTTTAAAAACCATTAAGAGGCTTTTGAAGCATCATCCATCAAAGCCACACCTTTAAACTTTGACTTTTCAATAAAAATTCTTGACTTTTAAATGGCTGATTATATAAAGTAGCTACCGCTAGTAAGTGGTACTACCTGTTTGATTAAATTTAAAATACTGTTTAGCCAACAGCCCAGTGTGCGGCATTCAAATGTTACACCTCTGGATGGCTCGGATGGCATTTTATTTATGCACGGCGTGGCCAGCTGTTGAGAGCATTAAATTAATGCGCTTAGTCGCCATCATCGATGGTCGATGTGGATGTCGATGTCTTATGGGATGTGTTGTGCCCCCAAGTTGCATGGCCTGTCGTCTGGCAATTGATATTTCAATCGGCATTTCATTTTGTCTGGCGCCATGGCTTAGTCTGCGGTTTAGTTAAGGGAGCTGCTAGTCGATGGTATGTATATGGCTGGTAGGTGGCTCTTTGGGGTTTTCTTATCAACCCGTCCAACCTATACGTGTCTCGGCTTATGGGCACGCATTTTGCAACTTCCAATTAAAAAGTTATTCAATGCTGAACGACTTAAAAACACATTTAAGCCGATAAGAGGGCGACCTGAAACACGGCCACTTAACCCAAACGATATTGCCATAAACAGAAGCCGAAAACAATATGGTCGAAACTGAAACTGGCCAAAACGGAAATGGAATTCGCACATGTGTTTCGAAATTACAAAGGAAACAACAGTCCATAAGAAACATTCCAGAAGTGATGTCTTCGGCATTTCTAATAGACGTGCCACTTAAATCAGAATTCCACTTAGAATCATAAAAATTCTAAAAGGCATAAATCAAACACTTTCATTTGAGATTGCAGCTAATGTTCGTTAAGTTGCATTGATAATTTCCCAAGGATTAGAGATCGTTTCCGCTTTCGAGAGCAGGGCCTCCACAAATAGGCTGGAAATTCTTCGGAAATTGAGCGAATCTTTCAGACGCATAAGCATAAAAATTCCACAAGAATCTCCGCATCGCTCCCTCGCGGCGGCCAGAAGATTTGGGTTTTATTTTTAGACTCATCCATTGGTCCATGGGACGGGGAGGCACTTAAACCGACTCTACCGTGCTGCTGACGGTGCTCATCCCAGGCCAACGCAATGGCAAATAGCACGGCAACTTTTGCTTTTAGTTGCTTTTTAGCCTCAAGCCCCGTCGAACCCCCAAGCCCTCTGGAGTTTTCAGCGAAAAGTGAAATCCTTTTAAAGCGGCTGCAAACAAAAATCTAGGAAAATGTCGCCGCCAAAAAGTTATAAATCTTGTTCATATTTACACGTGAAGCCCAGAGCCAGACTCTGCCGCAGTCTCGGCCTGGCCGGGGAGCTGGGAAGCCATAAATGTCACACACTCTTCGGCCGACAGGCTAGAAAACTGGCAAGCTGGCAGCCAGGCGGGCAGCCAGGCAGGCTTGGCATATTAGTTTTCCTCGGAGCAGGCGGCAATGGCAAAACGTGCTAAATTCCATGGGGCAGACATCCATTAAACAGCCGCAGCAGCAACAGCAACAGCGGCCGTGCCACAAAAAAATAAAAACATGCCACGGCTGAAAAGTGCTAAAATCTCATAAAACATTGCCTGACTGCTGATTCTAAATTAACTTTGGCTTCTCGGGCCACAGTGGGTTGTACAAACCTGGGGATTTAGGTGAGGTTCTAGCTTGGAATTTAGGATAGGAGGTTTAGATATCTGCTTTCCCAAAAAGTGATCTTAAATATCTTTGGAAATTTTCAATATTTTTGAAGTAATTATAGTATCTTTTGTAGTATCCCCTAAGCACTGTACCTGACAGGCGACACTTGACTTGAGGAGTGCTTTCTGAAGCAGACTTGGAGTGGAGCAGTCCAAGTTGTTGCACTTTGCACTTCAGCCTCCAGAGCAGAGTCAGAGGAGGG